ATGTGCGAGTACGTCAAAATATGCACGGTCATTTACCTATAACATAGCATTGTAGGTGAAAAATCAATTGTTATAAAACAGGTAAACACAGAAAGATATACTTTCCATCATATGCAGCACGAGTCTTGCGTTCGACCCCGGTATCGGTTAAATTAGAATAATAGGCGGATTATTCTTTAAGTAGTCATGTTAAACGAGATTATTTATTTGAATGTTTCGATGTGTGATATGTAAGTCTTAATAAACACGAAGTGAATTTCAAAATGGAATATCTTATTTCCCGTTATTTGTGGTAATACCAGAATTGGAAAAACAGAAGGGTAGCTTCCTAAACTTTATGCCATGCAGATACAAGATTGTGAAAAATATCGAAGGAAAAATATCAGACCTGTACTAAATCGGGTCCCTAAACTCCTAATAGAAGCAATCTACGTACACTGTATGTACTGGTTTTAGACTGAAATACATGAAATGTATTCAATTGATGAAATTGATATTAAAATACAAAGTTATACATGCTTAATTACATGCCTGATATGTTAAACCCGTTTTCTAAAAAATATATTATTGCATAAAGTTATCGCATTTTCTTGAAGCTGAGTACAAAACAGCAGTGGAAAGCAAGCCAACAAGGAGACCGAAAAGTATAATTACACGCCATAATTGTTGTCCTCGTGATTTACAATAGAATAGATTGGTAAAAGTGTTTATTGGTCTCTGGACAGCGTGATCTCAAATATTATGTCAGTTCACTCAACCATAACAAGACCACAGGTGTGAGCAGTCTTTACACACATTGCGGTGGTTACCTGTAGTAAAAAGGCGTAACAAAAGGTCTATAATGTTTACAGATATCTGTCTATTGTGACCATAACATTGAAAGAAGGAGCACTCAGTTAAAAGCACTCTATGTACATGTACATTAATATGCTACAAATGCAAAACACAACAGATTTCGGGTATATAACTCAATGTAAGGACTTTTGGGATGTTATAACACTTACCGCAAAATGTATTTCGTTGGTCGTTGTCCGGATATCATGCACAACCAGATTTGTTCTTCCATCTTATAAAGCATCTGGGAATTCAGCCATCAAACTCTTCACGTCTTTTTTCTGTTTGGTTGACAGCAGTTCCGATACTTGTGCATCCTCTACACTTTCGGTCCTTACAGGAGTCGATTCGTTGTAAACAAATGGTGTTCGGTAACTCACCTTCAACATCATCATCGTCACTCCCCTCTATCAAAGATGAACAAACACTGTTCAGAACTCCAACCTCACATGACCCTGTCACTTCCCTTTGGAGATACCGACGCAGCAAGTTTGCATGTAGAACTTTGTATTTGCTGTTCCTTCCGCTCTGTGATGCTATAAGGTTCCCACCACTGCATCTGAACTTTATTCCGTTTCATCGGTAACAAAACCAGCACCTTCTCTCTGGTTCCATAACTCGGTTCTTAGCCTTCCGATTGTAAAACTTGGCCTGCGTAATCTTGGCCTTTCGAAGGTGTTCCTATGACAGCCTGCATGTCTCTTCCAATCGTTCACGCAAATCAATGACGTATTGGTAAGTAATTTTAATCTCGGGGTCTGCAACTTTCTTCTCACACAATTCACGAAGGATCATCAGCACGTCCATAGAGCGATTCAAAAGGGGAAAAACTTAAGCTTTCCTGTAGTACCTATCTGTAAGAAAACAGAAAAAGCGTTTAAATCATGAGCTGGCCCTATAACCTTCTGACGGTACTTAATGGGAACAATTAACTGTTTGAAAATCCCTGCTGTGAAGACGGGTTCTCATACTCTCTATAGACCAGACCATGTCGTGTGAAGAAATGCGATTTCCCATCATCACGTCTTTCATTAACATCACCTGCTTTAGCCATCTCATGAATCTTAGCCGATGTTTCATCTGATTTCTGGGCCTCTTTGAAATCACTTGGAACACCTTTGGAACTTTCACTTGTCTATATAGCCTTTCCTCTTACTTCTTCTGTGCCCTTGTCTGCACAGCGCTAACCTCAAGGTTCCGTTCCATATTCGGAACTCCTGGGGATCTAAAACCATCAATGTTTCCTAATATGAGGTCATAAATAGGAGTGTTCATACACTAAGCCAAAACAGGTCCTTGATAGTAAGGGGTATCAACGACAGTATTGGCTGTAGATACATTCAACTTACTTCCATCAACTAAAGAGCGTGTTCTAGCATCTCCTGTGAGAGTATCCGTATCAACCAGACTTATTCTGGTGACCACTCCACTAAAACTAGTGTCTCGTAACACTGTAACAACATGTTTACCAACAAGTCCTCTTACAACAGGCATACCACAGTCCAGGCGCGCTGCAGGAAATACTTAACTGATCTGAGGCCTGCTCATCAGAGTCGTCCTCACTTGAGCTTACAGCTCCATATGGAAGTCGGGAACTGGATCTCTTACCAAATTAATAGCCCTTGTGGTTTCCTTCACCCTGTGTCTGTGTCATCTCTTGTCCATTAGTCTCTGTGACTAACCCGACACGGGATTGCTTCTTCTTGGTGTTGGCTGGGCAGTTGTAGGAGAGATGATCAGACTTCTTACAAATGTAACATGACTTTCCTCCTTGGTTACCACAGCTACCAATACTGACCTGACCTTTTGACACCACCTTTCTACTGACCAACTAAGCAGAATTCTTTTGCGATCGATTTCCTTGATTATGCTTATGTCCTGAATATTTTAATTTGACGGGTTACCTCTAGTGTCCGCATATTGGTCTGTCAGCTTCGTCATTTCAATCATAGACCCTGGGATACTCTCCTTTAAGAAAAGCTCCAGCTCACTTCCGTAAACTTGTAAAAACTGGTCACGGGACAGGAAGTCCTTCAAGCTGTCGTATGACTTATCTGTCCCTGTAAGTCCCAACCATCTGACAAAATGATTGTCTTATCTTACAGAGAATTGGCCAAAAGTTTCACCCGTGTCAGGTCTACCCGATCGAAATCGTTGCCGGCGGGGTTTGAGAACCAAATTACCTCAACTATATATACATTTTGATGTAAATTCGACATAAGTCTTGAGTTACCATGTTGTAAAAATGTATCGATTCCAGTTAAAGATTACTTAACACGGGAAATCGATACTCGAACGGAAGCCATAACGCTTTGGCATGCATACAATTTACTACAAGGTTAGCGTTTGTTGTGTAGTGTTTGCATTCTACCAAACTTGGGGCTCAATATACTTACAAGGTAAATAAGAAATACTAATCCTCTGCCAAGAACCGGGCAGACTCTAGTGTTCCGTAGTTATTCATGCATCCTTGTCCGGGCCCTATATACTATGTACTACTTCATGTCACTGGAACAATATACTTGGGGTATAAGTCCGCCTTGGCGAGGCGGGGTGGCCGCTCTGACCGACATTTTGGCATTTGACCTTTCGGTGGGGGACTAATTCGCGGAATTGTCTTGTTTTCTATGAAATACTGTTGAAATACATTAAGAATGTCAGTGTGAGCTGTCACAGTGTTTAGACTGTTACTCCAAGACCTTCCGTGTTTCAGAAACAGTATGTGTCCAGCGATATATTTGTTTCCCAAATAAAATGAAATGAATTCATAAAAATAATGTTTCATTTACACGTAACCTCATATTGAATGGAATTGAATGTGTTCTGTTTATCACAAAGCTGAGATACTTTAACAAACATGCAGTTATGAAAACAGCATTAATTTTACTAGTCTAGTACAAATCCTCACTTTAAGGTACTTTTTTTCGTGACGTCACAATGCCTATGATGCCATGAAGTTTAACGATACACTGGAAACAATGGGAAACTAAGCAAATCACATTTCCGCTAAGCCATATTACACGTGTGATGAAAAACTATGTACAGGTTCGAAATCACATACCCAACGAAAACGAATGCAATATCATTATATGACATGATGGATTAATCAAGCATATATTGTAGAAGACGAACCTTTTCACATCAAACTTAGGCGTCATTACAAATGTATATCTATGGTTTCTATTATTACGTCACATTATCCATAATCAGGGACGTATATGTCATATACGTCCCTGCCATAATGCAATATGTCAGTGCGGTGTTACGTCATTCTATTATTAAAATCTGACGTCATAATAGGTTATATTATAATGTGAAGTACGCAAAAATATTTCACATATACATGTTTACTGCGTGTCAATGCAATCATATCCAGATTATAACATTTAAAGTTATCTTAAAGGTTTAAAAAATATTCCGGAAAAAGAGATTTCGTTTACGGACAGCCGGACGGAATAAGGACGTAGGTCGATTTGAGTGCAGAAAATTTTTGCTACTCGATATATACAGTATGACTTAAGTCATAATTTAATTAAAACAACATTCATTGTTACTGAAATACAACAAGGCACAGAATAAACAGGTTTTGACAATAAGCTTGTAGCTTATGTATACATGCATGCAAGTCATTTCAATTATTTATTACATTAATCTTCTTTGTACCTTAAAATAATTCATTTAAGATCTTTTGATCAATGTCCTACACACGTGCAAGTAAGCCAGTATATACAATATGAATTATATATATTATATGTTCAAATTTATAAGTAAAACAAAATCGATTGTTCTAGATCATCAGTAGGCCTACTGCTATAATTAGACATGACAAACATTACGAAGTCATTAAGCGGACTGTTTGAAACTGAGCCAAAACTAGCTCGAGTGATAATAATCTAACAATGACCTTCATATTAAAATTTTAAAAAAATGTGCTTTACAACATGCAGCCTAACCCTACAGTCAACTGATCGCCCTGAACGATCATTCGGTTTGAAACATTACGCAGAAAGAACCTTAACAATATTGTCGTTATTGTATATTCTCTCCGATATAGGTGACCAAGTTGTTGCTGCAGCAGAAGCACACCGTTAGTGTTACCACTCCGTATAAACAGTCTGCACCGTTACGGTTTCTGACACTCCCTGTGGCTTAACACAAACTGGAACATGGGACTACTCTCCGAGGGATCTCCTCTCAGCTGGGACGAAACCAAGGACCACGCGGACCACGTGAGGAAGCATGGCATTCGACAGTTTATAAATCAGTACAGAAAACTAAAGGATATCAAGAAAGACGTGTTGTACTGGGGAGATGAGGTACGTAAGCTTAACCAAAATGAATTCGAAGTTATGCATGTTCCCTCGAAATTCATCAGGCATCCTAAAGAGAGAGAGAGACGATCCGACATCAGTCAGAGGGGGACAGAGTGTGACGCCCTACATCAGTCAGATGGGGACAGACTGACATAAGTAAGGTGGGGACAGAGTGTGACACACCGATATCAGTCAGAGGGGACAGAGTTTGAGGCCCCAAGATCTGTCAGAGGGGGACAGAGCTTGATGCCCCTACATCAGTCAGAGGGGGACAGAGTTTGACGCCCCTACATCAGTCAGAGGGGGTCAGAGAGTGACGCCGGTACATCAGTCAGAGGGAGACAGAGTTTGACGCCGGTACATCAGTCAGAGGGGGACAGAGTTCGAGGCCCCGACATCAGTCAGAGGGGGACAGAGTGTGACGCCCCTACATCAGTCAGAGGGGGACAGAGTGTGACGCCCCTACATCAGTCAAAGGGAGATAGAGTTTGACGCCGGTACATCAGTCAGAGGGGGACAGAGTTCGAGGCCCCGACATCAGTCAGAGGGGGACAGAGTGTGACGCCCCTACATCAGTCAGAGGGGGACAGAGTGTGACTCCCCTACATCAGTCAAAGGGAGACAGAGTTTGACGCCGGTACATCAGTCAGAGGGGGACAGAGTTCGAGGCCCCGACATCAGTCAGAGGGGGACAGAGTGTGACGCCCCTACATCAGTCAGAGGGGGACAGAGTGTGACGCCCCTACATCAGTCAAAGGGAGACAGAGTTTGACGCCCCGACATCAGTCAGAGGGGGACAGTGTGTGACTTCCCTTCATCAGTCAGAGGGGGACAGAGTTTGACTCCCCTACATCAGTCAGAGGGGGACAGAGCTTGACGCCCCGACATCAGTCAGAGAAGGACACTATGATGCCCCGACATCAGTCAGAGGGTGACAGAGCTTGACGCCCCGACATCAGTCAGAGGAGGACACTATGACGCCCCGACATCAGTCAGAGGGGGACAGAATTTGAAGCCCCTACTTCAGTCAGAGGGGGACAGAGCTTGACGCCCCGACATCAATCAGAGGAGGACACTATGACGCCCCGACATCAGTCAGAGGGAGACAGAATTTTGACACCCCTTTATCAGTCAGAGGGGGTGTTAACGCCCCTACTTCAGTCAGAGGGGGACAGAGTTTGACATCCCTTCATCAGTCAGAGGGGACAGAGTGTGACACGTAAATCCCAGAGTGTGACTACAGTCAGAGGGGGACAGAGTTGATGACATCCCTTCATCAGTCAGAGTGGGGTACATCTGTCAGATGCTTGACATCAGTCCGGACACCCTACTTCAGTCAGAGGGGGACAGAGTTTGACATCCCTACATCAGTCAGAGGGGGACAGAGTGTGACGCCGGTACATCAGTCAGAGGGGACAGAGTGTGACGCCGGTACATCAGTCAGAGGGGGACAGAGTTTGATGCTCTTACATCAGTCAGAGGGGACAGAGTGTGACGCCGGTACATCAGTCAGAGGGGGACAGAGTGTGACGCCGGTACATCAGTCAGAGGGGGACAGAGTGTGACGCCGGTACATCTGTCAGATGGGGACAGAGCTTGACGCCCCGACATCAGTCAGATGGGGACAGAGTTTGACACCCTATCATCAGTCAGAGAGGGACAGAGTTTGTAGCCCTACTTTAGTCAGAGGGGACAGAGTTTGATGCCAAGACATCAGTCAGAGGGGGACAGAGTTTGACACCCCTACATCAGTCAGAGGGGGACAGAGCTTGATGCCCCGACATCAGTCAGATGGGGACAGAGTTTGACGCCCTATCATCAGTCAGAGGGGACAGAGTTTGATGCCAAGACATCAGTCAGAGGGGGACAGAGTTTGACGCCCCGACATCAGTCAGATGGGGACAGAGTTTGATGCCAAGACATCAGTCAGAGGGGGACAGAGTTTGATGCCAAGACATCAGTCAGATGGGGACAGAGTTTGATGCCAAGACATCAGTCAGAGGGGGACAGAGTTTGACGCCCCGACATCAGTCAGATGGGGACAGAGTTTGACGCCCTATCATCAGTCAGAGAGGACAGAGTTTGATGCCAAGACATCAGTCAGAGGGGGACAGAGTTTGTAGCCCTACTTTAGTCAGAGGGGACAGAGTTTGATGCCAAGACATCAGTCAGAGGGGGACAGAGTTTGACGCCCCGACATCAGTCAGAGGGGGACAGAGTTTGATGCCCGACATCAGTCAGAGGGGGATCGAGTTTGACACCCCGACATCAGTCAGAGGGGGACAGAGTTTGATGCCAAGACATCAGTCAGAGGGGGACAGAGTTTGACGCCCCGACATCTGTCAGAGGGGGACAGAGTTTGATGCCAAGACATCAGTCAGAGAGGGACAGAGTTTGACGCCCCGACATCAGTCAGAGGGGGACAGAGTTTGATGCCAAGACATCAGTCAGAGGGGGACAGAGTTTGACGCCCCGACATCAGTCAAAGGGGGACAGAGTTTGACACTCGACATCAGTCAGAGGGGGATCGAGTTTGACACCCCGACATCAGTCAGAGGGGGACAAAGTGTGACGCCCCTTTATCAGTCAGAGGGGGACAGAGTATGATGCCTCGACATCAGTTAGAGGGGGAGTTTGACACTTCTGCTGAGTTTTGTTGTCTTCCTAGACACTACTGGTGGATGTTGTTGTCTCCCTAGACACTACTGGTGAGTCTTGTTGTCTCCCTAGACACTGCTGGTAAGTGTTGTTGTCTCCCTAGACACTGCTGGTAAGTGTTGTTGTCTCCCTAGACACTGCTGTTGAGTCTTGTTGTCTCCCTAGACACTGCTGTAAGTGTTGTTGTCTCCCTAGACAAAGGTGTTTAGACTTGTTGTCTTCCTAGACACCCCTGTTGAGTCTTGTTGTCTCCCGTGACACTCCTGTTGGGTCTTGTTGTCTCCCTAGACACTGCTGGTAAGTCTTGTTGTTGCCCTAGACACTTGTGTTGAGTCTTGTTGTCTGCCTAGACACCCCTGTTGGGTCTTGTTGTCTCCCTAGACACTCCTGTTGAGTCTTGTTGTCTCCCTAGACACTGCTGGTGAGTCTTGTTGTCTCCCTAGACACTACTTGTGAATGGTGTTGTCTCCCTAGACACTCCTGTTGAGTCTTGTTGTCTGCCTAGACACCCCTGTTGGGTCTTGTTGTCTCCCTAGACACTCCTGTTGAGTCTTGTTGTCTCCCTAGACACTGCTGGTGAGTCTTGTTGTCTCCCTAGACACTACTTGTGAATGGTGTTGTCTCCCTAGACACTCCTGTTGAGTCTTGTTGTCTCCCTAGACACTGCTGGTGAGTCTTCTTGTCTCACTAGACACTACTTGTGAATGGTGTTGTCTCCCTAGACACTGCTGGTGAATCTTGTTGTCTCCCTAGACACTGCTGGTGAGTCTTGTTGTCTCCCTAGACCCTGCTGGTTAGTCTTGTTGTCCCCTTAGACACTGCTGGTTTGTCTTGTTGTCTCCCTAGACACTGGTGTTTAGTGTTGTTGTCCCCCTAGTCACCTTTGTATGTCTTGTCTCTCAATTAGTACACACCATTACCTTGGCTGAATTTCTGATGTGATATACAATATAGTTAGAATTATTTCTGTTTTCTATATTTGATTTCTTTTGTTAGGTTGAATATATGCTGGTGAAGTTTGATGATGAGAAGAAAACTGCTCGACTACGATTGGATGCTGATCGTGTCCTGGCCATTCTACAACAACAAGAGAAGGACACACCACAGTAAGTGCATATGTGTCACATATATGTTTCATTTCCTTTCAGCGACTTGGAAGTGTTTTAACTTAAATCCTTGGCTTATCATTTTTCTGAGTATCACCATTACATGTACATGTATGCTTTCTGATATATATCTTTTTGTTTCTGTTTTTTTTTTTTTTGTTGTTTTTGTTTCTTGCCTCTTGGAAATATATATTTCACAAATGACTTTCAAAACATTCTTTAGAAATTGCTATGTCATCAAGCGTGTCAAAAGACAGGTCACTGAACAGACCTCTGAAGTCACATAAGGTATAGATGTGTTACTAAAACCTAGCAAATGGATCACTGGCTATGAATACTCATGTTCAGCAAAGATAAAAAAATCCTTTTGTATGGTGAAGAATTTGAGATTCTGAGAAGGTAATGGCCAGGAGCAAATTTATCTTAAGGAAACATGTTAGGAAGAGGGATCTTGGGATATCGGACACAAAACTTAGGTTGTTCATAAAGGAATTAAAATATTAAACCTTACTCAAAGTCAGGAGTGAACTTTTTATAAGTAAACAATATAGGAATGGTCTCTATATTGATGGTGAACACTCAGATTGTTATTGTGATATTGATGGTGAACACTGAGATTGTTATTGTAATATTGATGGTGAACACTCAGATTGTTATTGTGATATTGATGGTGAACACTCAGATTGTTATTGTAATATTGATGGTGAACACTCAGATTGTTATTGTGATATTGATGGTGAACACTCAGATTGCTATTGTGATATTGAGCAGGGTTTTCCATAAGAGCCGGTCGCCGGCCAATTTGACCAGCTACTTTGATCATTTGGCCGCCTACACCAATCCAGTTCCGTAATAATGTTCCGTACATGACTACACGTACACGGCAGGCCAGCCTCCTACTTTCACTACACAGCCTACTACTAACAAAATTATGGAAAACCCTGTTGATGGTGAACACTCAGATTGTTATTGTGATATTGATGGTGAACACTCAGATTGTTATTGTGATATTGATGGTGAACACTCAGATTGTTATTGTGATATTGATGGTGACCACTCTGATTGTTATTGTGATATTGATGGTGAACACTCTGATTGTTATTGTGATATTGATGGTGAACACTCAGATTGTTATTGTGATATTGATGGTGAACACTCAGATTGTTATTGTGATATTGATGGTGAACACTCAGATTGTTATTGTAATATTGATGGTGAACACTCAGATTGTTATTGTGATATTGATGGTGAACACTCAGAAAGTTGATGTAAATTATTTATCTTAATGATCTCAGATGTTTGTTTGGGAGGAAATTAATTATGGGTTTAACAGATATAGTTACAGTGTTGTTTGTAATAAACATTTTGAATTTTTGAGTCCGGGCTTTTTAAGGGGCTTTGGGCTCCATTCCCAGTTGAAGATCGTACAAAAACACACAAGAGAATTGTACCTTTTCAGTTATTTCATATCTAAGCCATAATCACTGTCTTTGTTTGTGAAGAAAAAAAATGTAACATCACACAAATTGTTGGGACAGTGACTTGCAAAAATGTAACACAGGAATGATTCAGCATGTTCCTATCAGACAGATTCTTGTTTTCATTCAGAGTGCTGATTCATACTAACTACCTGTAATGTATATACTCATGTGTGGTAATGTTGTAATCTATTTACCTGTACAGATATCATCATACCTGGTTCTGTTGTAATATATTTACCTGTACAGATATCATACCTGGTTCTGTTGTAATATATTTACCTGAACAGATATCATACCTGGTTCTGTTGTACTCTATTTACCTGTACAGATATCATCATACCTGGTTCTGTTGTAATATGTTTACCTGTACAGATATCATATCTGGTTCTGTTGTAATATATTTACCTGAACAGATATCATACCTGGTTCTGTTGTAATATATTTACCTGTACAGATATCATACCTGGTTCTGTTGTAATATATTTACCTGAACAGATATCATACCTGGTTCTGTTGTACTCTATTTACCTGTACATATATCATACCTGGTTCTGCTGTAATATATTTACCTGTACAGATATCATACCTGGTTCTGTTGTACTCTATTTACCTGTACATATATCATACCTGATTCTGCTGTAATATATTTACCTGTACAGATATCATACCTGGTTCTGCTGTAATATATTTACCTGTGCAGATATCATACCTGGTTATGCTGTAATATATTTACCTGTACAGATATCATACCTGGTTCTGTTGTACTCTATTTACCTGTACAGATATCATACCTGGTTCTGATGTACTCCATTTACCTGTACAGTTATCCTTTCTGTGCTACTTGTCAAATGTGTCCTGATTTGAACTTACTGCCTTTATTGAAATCGGTAACACAGGTTGACATCAATTATAACAAAAATAGACATCAATAACTGAACTTGTAGACGTTGGTTGATGTTGAGAACGCTCCTACTTATGATGACCCACCCATCTGACGGACAGACAGATGGCGTTTGCTCCTTCCTTCCCTTTTTAGTTAAAACTTAAAACTTACCCAACTTATTAAGTTAAAAAATGAAAATGAAAATCTTAATGATAACAATGGTTAAGACGGATTAAAACTGATACAGATATTTTAGTATACTGTATGGAATACTTTATGTTTAAAAATGTCCATCATTTACCTATCCTACCTACCTACCTTAACACACACACACAGGCACGCACACGCACGCACACACACACACGTATCTCCCTTTACCTTTACTATGAATCACATTGACATGTCTGTCTATTTTGTTAGCTTCATGTGTTTGTAACTTGACATCATGAGCAATATTCACTAAAATGATATCCTCTTATAAACAAATGGAAATCCTCATTATTCATATATAATTTTACTCTCTCATTTTAACTGCAAATAGTGTAAAACTTTGACTCACAAAAATATCTGCCTAACCCATGACATCAGGTTATTAAACCTGTTAGTCTTGTAATATTGGTGACATGGACATATTAAACAGAAGATCTAGACCAACTGTAGGATAAACTGACTTTTTTCACAATAAATAAATTAATATTGATCATGATGTCTATATTTCCTGTGATTACCTGGCCTTATTGGTTTTGATAAAAGAATCACCTAATTTACACCATCTTTGTTTCCATAGCGACCACCCCACAACCTGGCGACCAGAGTATGCCTCGTACATGGTGGAGGGAACTCCCGGTAAACCCTACGGAGGACTTTTTGCTCACTTTAACGTGGTGGAGGCCAATATGAAACTGAGGTAAGAGTTCAAAGGTCAGACAGTTGTCGCTGAAATGTATTGTTATGATATTTATTTATACCCTCATGTAAGCTAAGGGGGTTCATGGTTACAACAACCAACCACCCGATAGTCAGTGATTGGTTAGGTGTCACAGTGGTAATGCACCCGCTTTTCACTTCGGCGTCCCATGTTTGAAACCCAGTAGGATGTGAAATGTTACGGGGTGACCTGTCCAATCACATGGCTGTGGGTTTTCGCTTGGTACTCTGGTTCCCTCCCATAGTAACACCCCTTGCACACTTACATCTGGGTCAACAACAGTTGGAATCATTCATTTCCCAATTATTATAAAATAAATAAAGTTTCATATTGATTTTGTAGTAATGACTTTGTTTATGTATTCACCCGTCTGTTCGTCCTTTATTCATTCATCCGTCTGTTCGTCCTTTATTCATTCATTCGTCTGTTCATCCTTCCATGTTTGAATACACACAGAACTAGCATACAAGATATGTCTCACACATGTGGAAAAAAAGTTCAGATTCAAATTAAATAAATAAGTTACCATGGAAACCATTTGATTTCATTTTGTTTAATGTCACTTTCCATTTCATATCAAGTTTTTATGAAACACTCATTTTTTTACCAATATATTCTAAAAAATCCATTATCTGATGATGTCACTTCTTTTCGTGTGGGCTATGTTTAATATCACTTCGAATTGATGAATGTCACTACAAAAAACAAAATAAAACATGAATGAATTACTTCTGTGCTTAGAGGTGTAAAAAAAATGTCAAGTGTTAATGTCACATTCTGCTTATTATCTCATTTTCCCCTTTAGAGTGGAACATGAAGTTCAGCAGTTTTTATTGTATCTGTATTGATGATTTTTGTTTGTTTTTTTTTCAGGAGAGAAGAAATCCAAAAATGCCTTGGGGCCAATGAAGTACCTTTAAGTTTGACCTCCTATCCTAGGTAATCAGTTACCTGTAATTATATTACTGTATACAATTACCTGTATACAATTACCTGTAATTATATTACCTATATACAATTACCTGTATACAATTACCTGTAATTGTATTAGTTGTATACAATTACCTGTAATTATATTACTGTATACAATTACCCGTATACATTTACCTGTAATTATATTACTGTATACAATTACCTGTAATTATATTACCTGTATACAATTACCTGTAATTATATTACCTATATACAATTACCTGTATACAATTACCTGTAATTGTATTACCTGTATACAATTACCTGTATACAATTACCTGTAATTATATTACTGTATACAATTACCTGTATACAATTACCTGTAATTATATTACTGTATACAATTACCTGTATACAATTACCTGTAATTGTATTACCTGTATACAATTACCTGTATACAATTACCTGTATACAAATATCTGTAATTATATTACTGTATACAATTACCTGTAATTATATTACTGTATACAATTACCTGTATACAATTACCTGTAATTATATTACCTATATACAATTACCTGTATACAATTACCTGTAATTGTATTACCTGTATACAATTACCTGTATACAATTACCTGTATACAAATATCTGTAATTATATTACTGTATACAATTACCTGTAATTATATTACCTGTATACAATTACCTGTAATTATATTACCTGTATACAATTACCTGTAATTATATTACCTGTATACAATTACCTGTAATTATATTATCTATATACAATTACCTGTATACAATTACCTGTAATTATATTACTGTATACAATTACCTGTATACAATTACCTGTAATTATATTACTGTATACAATTACCTGTATACAATTACCTGTAATTATATTACTGTATACAATTACCTGTATACAATAACCTGTAATTATATTACCTGTATACAATTACCTGTATACAATTACCTGTAATTATATTACCTATATACTATTACCTGTATACAATTACCTGTATACAATTACCTGTATACAAATATCTGTAATTATATTACTGTGTACAATTACCTGTAATTATATTACCTGTATACAATTACCTGTAATTATATTACCTGTATACAATTACCTGTAATTATATTACTGTATACAATTACCTGTATACAATTACCTGTAATTATATTACTGTATACAATTACCTGTAATTATATTACTGTATACAATTACCTGTATACAATTACCTGTAATTATATTACTGTATACAATTACCTGTAATTATATTACCTGTATACAATTACCTGTAATTATATTACTGTATACAATTACCTGTATACAATTACCTGTAATTATATTACTGTATACAATTACCTGTAATTATATTACCTGTATACAATTACCTGTAATTATATTACTGTATACAATTACCAGTATACAATTACCTGTAATTATATTACTGTATACAATTACTTGTAATTATATTTGTATTTGAAATATATAGCAAATACAAATTATCTGTGAAATATAGAAATAATGTTGTTCGTGATTATGACTTTCATGGGACTCCAATATCTAAGTTGGTAGAGTTCCAGACTAGGTTGATAATACCTCACCAGCTGAACAACCCAGATGTTTGATTTGATGCCCATTTTTGGCACAGTTTTTTTCATGAAGTTGAGATCAATGATTGTCCAGTCTAAGTTGAATTTTCTCTGGATGACATGTGATGAGCCTCTCACATGATGTTCAGTACATAGTCACCAGCTGTTACATGATGTTCAGTACATAGTCACCAGCTGTCACATGATGCCCAGTACATAGTCACCAGCGGTCACATGATGTTCAGTACATATTCACCAGCTGTTACCTGATGCCCAGTACACAGTCACCAGCTGTCACATGATGTTCAGTACATAGTCACCAGCTTCACATAATGCCCAGTACACAGTCACCAGCTGTCACATGATGTTCAGTACATAGTCACCAGCTGTCACATGATGTTCAGTACACAGTCACCAGCTGTCACATGATGTTCAGTACACAGTCACCAGCTGTCACATGATGCCCAGTACACAGTCACCAGCTGTCACATGATGTTCAGTACATAGTCACCAGCTGTCACATGATGTTCAGTACACAGTCACCAGCTGTCACATGATGCCCAGTACACAGTCACCAGCTGTCACATGATGCCCAGTACACAGTCACCAGCTGTCACATGATGTTCAGTACACAGTCACCAGCTGTCACATGATGTTCAGTACAGTCACCAGCTGTAACATGATGTTCAGTACACAGTCACCAGCTGTAACATGATGTTCAGTACACAGTCACCAGCTGTCACATGATGTTCAGTACATAGTCACCAGCTGTCACATGATGTTCAGTACACAGTCACCAGCTGTCAAATGATGCCCAGTACACAGTCACCAGCTGTAACATGATGTTCATTACATAGTCACCAGCTGTCACATGTTGTTCAGTACATAGTCACCAGCTGTAACATGATGTTCAGTACATAGTCACCAGCTGTCACATGATGTTCAGTACATAGTCACCAGCTGTCACATGATGTTCAGTACATAGTCACCAGCTGTCACATGATGCCCAGTACATAGTCACCAGCTGTCACATGATGCCCAGTACACAGTCACCAGCTGTTACAAGATGACACCCCCTCAAACACACCCTGGCTTACAGGGCTAACCAACTAGCCAGCAGGCAAACCCACAGAAATTTCAATAAGTATTTAAAGATAAGTCTTTAATATTTCTAATCTGATTGCTGTCATTGCCAGTAATTATACATCAATTTCAGTGTAAGATGTTTTACAACAGAAATGATCATTGATTTATGTATGTTTGTTATTTAAGGACTGGGTGTGATGTGTTTTCTGATCCTCCCACTAACCCTGACCCCATCAACGGTGCCTCTCGCTCACTCTTCTACCCCGACCAAGTCGTCTATCTAGGACATCCACGATTCTTGTAAGTATTTGGATATTCAGGTTCAGTTGGTCTAGAAGTCTTTGTTTGGCTTCAGACTCTACACTTGCTATATACATAAACATTTCATTTTGATGAATACACTTCTAAACACTGAGAGTTGTAAACTAATTCTGGCTGGAATTGTTTGTTTTCAGAACCTTAACAAGAAATATCAGGGAAAGACGTGAAGAAAAAGTGTGCATTAATATTCCAGGTGAGTTTATTGAGTCCTGGTTTTATCATCTACGTATCATTTCAGCCATTGGTCCCACATAGTGTTACCTGTATGAGAATACAGGTGCTTAAGAATAGTTACATTGACTTTATGAAGTAACCTGATCAGCTGTCAGAATGTATTTAAAAAGTATGTAAAAATCAACATTCTATTGTAAAACCCAATGTTTTCAGAGTGAAAGTCCTATTAATAGATTTGATAATTAAATCTACTATTTTTAACATGAAACCTAATATTTTCATGTAAAAACTTAAGACTTCCTTTTCATCTTTATTGTGACACCGATCTGTTCATAAAAAAACCTGTCTTTTGAAAACTAAAAACGGTTTTTAGAAAACAATAACAACAATACCTGTTTTGAAAACAAATTGTAAAACCAAACCTTAACTTTTAGGTAATCTGTTTTCAGAGCACAAAGCTTGGTTTGTCTGATTTTACACAGCTTTATCACTCTAACAGACATTGGACCTACAATGATAAGATTTTCCACATCATCATGTATATTGATTTGTATGTCGACAGTGAAATCTTCACCATATGTGCTGTTGATAACAGTAAATAAACATGGCATTAAACTATACTATTTCATCTCATTGATTGAAGATAAGTTCTGTATATATGTATATATTGAACATATGTGATTTTACATCATGTGCTGTTGATAACAGTAAATAAACAAGGCATTGAAGTATACTATTTCATCTCATTGATTGAAGATAAGTTCTGTATATATGTATATTGAACATATGTGATTTTACATCTTATTTTTTGTGGTTTTAAAAATATCTTCCAATTTTATTTACAGTAATCAAAGGTTTAATATCTAAATATTTATATTATAGTGTTTAAGGACACCAACACCAAAACACCATTTGTGGAGGATTATGTCCCTTTAAAAGATGACGGTGAGGGCGCTGCTGCAGCACGGCCAGATCACATTTACATGGACTGTATGGGGTTTGGAATGGGCTGCTCCTGTCTCCAAGTTACCTTCCAGGCCTGTAACATAAATGAGGCAAGACACTTGTACGACCAGCTCACCCCGCTCTGTCCCATACTGGTAAGTCATAGTCCACTGTCAGCAAGTCATTGTCCTATACAGGGGAACTGTTGTCCTGTTGTAGTGATTCACTGTCCTATACAGGGGAACTGTTGTCCTGTTGTAGTGATCCACTGTCCTATACAGGGGAACTGTTGTCCTGTTGTAGTGATCCACTGTCCTATACAGGGGAACTGTTGTCCTGTTGTAGTGATCCACTGTCCTATACAGGGGAACTGTTGTCCTGTTGTAGTGATCCACTGTCCTATACAGGGGAACTGTTGTCCTGTTGTAGTGATCCATTGTCCTATACAGGGAAACTGTTGTCCTCTTGTTGTGATTCACTGTCCTATACAGGGAAACTGTTGTCCTGTTGTAGTGATTCACTGTCCTATACAGGGGAACTGTTGTCCTGTTGTAGTGATCCACTGTCCTATACAGGGGAACTGTTGTCCTGTTGTAGTGATTCACTGTCCTATACAGGGGAACTGTTTTCCTATTATTGTGATTCACTGTCCTATACAGGGGAACTGTTGTCCCATTATTGTGATTCACTGTCCTATACAGGGGAACTGTTGTCCTGTTGTAGTGATTCACTGTCCTATACAGGGGAACTGTTGTCCCATTGTAGTGATCCACTGTCCTATACAGGGGAACTGTTGTCCTGTTGTAGTGATTCACTGTCCTATACAGGGGAACTGTTGTCCTGTTGTAGTGATTCACTGTCCTATACAGGGGAACTGTTGTCCCATTGTAGTGATCCACTGTCCTATACAGGGGAACTGTTGTCCTGTTGTAGTGATCCACTGTCCTATACAGGGGAACTGTTGTCCTGTTGTAGTGATTCACTGTCCTATACAGGGGAACTGTTGTCCTGTTGTAGTGATCCACTGTCCTATACAGGGGAACTGTTTTCCTATTATTGTGATTCACTGTCCTATACAGGGGAACTGTTGTCCTGTTGTAGTGATTCACTGTCCTATACAGGGGAACTGTTGTCCTGTTGTAGTGATCCATTGTCCTATACAGGGGAACTGTTGTCCTGTTGTAGTGATCCATTGTCCTATACAGGGGAACTGTTGTCCTGTTGTAGTGATCCACTGTCCTATACAGGGGAACTGTGCCATTGTAGTGATCCATTGTCCTATACAGGGGAACTGTTGTCCTGTTGTAGTGATCCACTGTCCTATACAGGGGAACTGTTGTCCCATTGTTGTGATTCACTGTCCTATACCGGGGACTGTTGTCCTGTTGTAGTGATTCACTGTCCTATACAGGGGAACTGTTGTCCTGTTGTAGTGATCCATTGTCCTATACAGGGGAACTGTTGTCCTGTTGTAGTGATCCACTGTCCTATACAGGGGAACTGTGCCATTGTAGTGATCCACTGTCCTATACAGGGGAACTGTTGTCCTGTTGTAGTGATCCACTGTCCTATACAGGGGAACTGTTGTCCCATTGTTGTGATTCACTGTCCTATACCGGGGACTGTTGTCCTGTTGTAGTGATTCACTGTCCTATACAGGGGAACTGTTGTCCTGTTGTAGTGATCCATTGTCCTATACAGGGGAACTGTTGTCCTGTTGTAGTGATCCATTGTCCTATACAGGGGAACTGTTGTCCTGTTGTAGTGATCCACTGTCCTATACAGGGGAACTGTTGTCCTGTTGTAGTGATTCACTGTCCTATACAGGGTAACTGTTGTCCTGTTGTAGTGATCCACTGTCCTATACAGGGGAACTGTTGTCCTGTTGTTGTGATTCACTGTCCTATACCGGGGACTGTTGTCCTGTTGTAGTGATTCACTGTCCTATACAGGGGAACTGTTGTCCTGTTGTAGTGATCCATTGTCCTATACAGGGGAACTGTTGTCCTGTTGTAGTGATCCATTGTCCTATACAGGGGAACTGTTGTCCTGTTGTAGTGATCCACTGTCCTATACAGGGGAACTGTTGTCCTGTTGTAGTGATTCACTGTCCTATACAGGGTAACTGTTGTCCCCTTGTTGTGATTCACTATCCTGTTCTGTAGTTACAGTCATTAACCCACACTTACAATCATTATATCATACTGATAAGTCATTGTCCAGTTCCATTTTGCCAATCATGATACTGGTGAATCATGTCCCACACTGTCTTCATCAGACCTATGTTGTTGTGGTTACATTAGACTCCAGACAAACAAATCAGTATTGGGAATACATTATGCTAAGCTGGCCAATGTCAGTCATAAGGATGAATTGCATGAAATGCTTTATATTTAAAATTTTCAATCACATACTCGGGTGTTTATAAAACCATCATGTTGCTGTGTAGGTATTTTTATTGTCGAAGGGAGGTAACTCAATTATTTTTTTCAAAGCTGGCCTTGAGTGCAGCCTCTCCTGTGTATAGAGGTCATCTGGCTGATATAGATGCTCGTTGGACTGTCATCTCCCAGTCTGTAGATGACCGCACCAAAGAGGAAAGAGGAGAAAAGGTTTGTATATTTCATCATGATAATAACATATATTCATGTTGTGCGTGAATTATCTCTCTTTGAACAAATATTTTTTATATGAATACCCTACCAGTACATTATTGTTTGTCTGCTTTGTCATTAAAATTGGTTACAAAAGTCATACCAAGAAATGAATGTTTAGTTATCTCAGTGAAATATTTTGTGTTTTCAGTTTTTTTGATGATGTTATTTAGGAATGAATAAAACTAAAATTGTTACATTTTTTTCTTTTTAGGAGTTAAGACATAACAAATTTCACATATCAAAATCACGCTACGACAGTATCGACAGTTATTTGAATGAAGTCAATGAGCCGTACAATGATGTGGATCTGTGTATCGATGAAGAACTGTGTAACCAACTGCTGGAGGCAGGTAATGTCCCCACCGTACAAATATGTTCATTACTATCGCTTCACCTTTGACCTCTGTTTTGGAAGCTTTGATTGTAGAACCATACAAAGCCACCTGCACTTTCAAAAGGACCCCATTTCTAGATTGATAGTTTTGAATGTTCTTTCTTCCCACTCAAACACTATGGCAATATGATAATAATAATGATAAATAATCTTTATTTATTTTACAACAATTGCGAAGCAAGTTTTTTCAACTTATATTTATCACTCTTGTTGGCTCGCGCGCACGAGGGGTCTCAGTGAGGGAGGAAACCGCAGTTTGCAGGGAAAACCACGTGGTCGGGCAGGCGACCCCGTACCTTTTCACATCCATTCCGGGAATCGTACCCCGGACGGGTAGGTGAAAGGCCAAAGTGTTACCACTGCATCACCCGACCACTCCTTTGGCAATGTCACCATCTGCTGTCGCTCTATCACAGCTGATCCTGACTTTGTTTGGACTGTTTCTAGCCTCATACCTCTATATATATAGTGTAAATGTAGGTATTCCCTGTATTTCTTACAGAATGTAATCGTCAATACTGTGGTAGAACAATGTATTCTTAAACAAGAAGGATGTTATATTGGCTGGTTTAATAGATTTCTGTGTGAATAGAAAATATCAAACAACAGTAAACATATTCTATTGATATGTATATGTTTCAGGTATAGATCGGACATTGTCACGACACATAGCTCATCTTTTTATACGAGATCCAATTTCACTGTTCAGCGAGAAAATAAATCAGGATGATAGTACAGACACAGATCACTTTGAGGTGAGCTTTACATAATTATAGTTGATTGAAGGTCATGCAGACACAGATCACTTTGAGGTGAGCTTTACATAATCTTAGTTGAATGAAGGTCATGCAGACACATCACTTTGAGGTGAGCTTTACATAATTATAGTTGAATGAAAGTCTCACAAACAGATCACTTTGAGGTGAGCTTTACATAATTATAGTTGAATGAAAGTCTCACAAACAGATCACTTTGAGGTGAGCCTTACATAATTATAGTTGAATGAAAGTCTCACAAACAGATCACTTTGAGGTGAGCTTTACATAATTATAGTTGAATGAAAGTCTCACAAACAGATCACTTTGAGGTGAGCTTTACATAATTATAGTTGAATGAAAGTCTCACAAACAGATCACTTTGAGGTGAGCTTTACATAATTATAGTTGAATGAAAGTCTCACAAACAGATCACTTTGAGGTGAGCTTTACATAATTATAGTTGAATGAAAGTCTCACAAACAGATCACTTTGAGGTGAGCTTTACATAATTATAGTTGAGGTGAGCTTTACATAATTATAGTTGAATGAAAGTCTCACAAACAGATCACTAGTTGAATGAAAGTCACAAACAGATCACTTTTGAGCTTTACATAATTATAGTTGAATGAAAGTCTCACAAACAGATCACTTTGAGGTGAGCTTTACATAATTATAGTTGAATGAAAGTCTCACAAACAGATCACTTTGAGGTGAGCCTTACATAATTATAGTTGAATGAAAGTCTCACAAACAGATCACTTTGAGGTGAGCCTTACATAATTATAGTTGAATGAAAGTCTCACAAACAGATCACTTTGAGGTGAGCTTTACATAATTATAGTTGAATGAAAGTCTCACAAACAGATCACTTTGTGGTGAGCTTTACTTAATTATAGTTGAATGAAAGTCTCACAAACAGATCACTTTGTGGTGAGCTTTACTTAATTATAGTTAAAGAAAAGTCATGCATACACAGATCACTTTGAGATAAACTCTACATTATCAGAGTTATAAGGCATTTGTACAGACACAGATGATGGTGAGGTTCACTCTGTGTTCTTATAATTTTATTGAAATCCTGTTTCCATCCAATAAGATGAAATATAATTGTTATTTATCACAAAACAATGAGGATGTTAGTTTGGTCTGTTTATGCTATGATGACTCTGTACTCTGGTATTTCTCACATCTAATAGTTTGGTGTGTTTATGCTATGATGACTCTGTACTCTGGTATTTCTCACATCTAATAGTTTGGTGTGTTTATGCTATGATGACTCTGTACTCTGGTATTTCTCACATCTAATAGTTTGGTGTGTTTATGCTATGATGACTCTGTACTCTGGTATTTCTCACATCTAATAGTTTGGTGTGTTTATGCTATGATGACTCTGTACTCTGGTATTTCTCACATCTAATAGTTTGGTGTGTTTATGCTATGATGACTCTGTACTCTGGTATTTCTCACATCTAATAGTTTGGTGTGTTTATGCTATGATGACTCTGTACTCTGGTATTTCTCACATCTAATAGTTTGGTGTGTTTATGCTATGATGACTCTGTACTCTGGTACTTCCACATCTAAGACACTAATTTATTTGATTTAGTGTACGTAAATACAACATATAACCTGCTTATAATTTATTTTCCTCCCATTTCACAGTTGTGTTTTGTTTTGTTTTTTTTAAGGGACACTTTTTCACTGAAAATACTTTGATCTGGTCAATTTAAAATGGGTGAAAATATTAAAACCTGTTATTTTTTTTCAATGAAATGGCCTCTATATTGTCATTGTGAAAACTTCAAGTTCAAAAGTTATATTTAACTGGGGAAAGGAATGATAGAATGGATATATTAAACAAATGATCCTTAAAATTACAGAATATTCAGTCAACGAATTGGCAGACGATGCGGTTTAAGCCCCCTCCTCCAAACAGTGATATTGGCTGGAGAGTGGAGTTCAGACCAATGGAGGTAAACCACTGTGTGGCTAGAGAGTTAAAATTTGTATGAACTTATAAAGAACAGATAACACATGTTGTCACTAAGACAGACCTTATATAGAGAAATATAACTCATGTTGTTATTCGGGACAGACATTATGTCAAGGGAGATAACTCATGTTAAAGTAATGTTGGGGACAGACTTTTTATCAAGGGAGATAACTCATATTATTAGGTGGTCATGCTTTAAATCAAGGGAGATAATTCTTGTTGATACAAGGACAAATGTTACAGCTGTTGTTTCTTGTAAACTGAATGAATGCATGAAGCACAAAAGGTAAAAATCATCAGCACAGAGAACAAAAATACATGGAGCTATTGTTAAAATATTTCCACAACTTCTTCTCAAGAACTAAAAGGCCTAGAGGCAGGATATTTGACCGGTATATTTCTAGAATGAAGCGTAGTGTTGGAAAAGAAATGACCTTGACCTATATTCAGGGTACAGGGGTCAAATTTGTTAAAACATTTAAACAACGTCTTTTCATGCATTAAAAGGCCCTAAGGCATGATATTTTGTTGATTATTAAATTAATTGTATCAATTTTATATACAGGCAGATAATATTGCACTTTCACATTTTCAATAAACTTTAAAGTGATATCATGATATTTGGAATCAATAAATTACAGCTGGAACTTGGAGGTAATAACAACAGATCAGGGGCTTAATACAATAGACTAACGGCGACTGGTCTAGGGTTTTATAACAGACTGTGGTAAATGGCGCCTGGTCAAGGGTTTTATAACAGACTGAGGTAAATGGCGACTGGTCAAGGGCTTTATTACAGACTGAGGTAAATGGAACCTGGTCAAGGGTTTTATAACAGACTGAGTTAAATGGTGACTGGTCAAGGGTTTTATAACAGACTGAGGTAAATGGCCCTTGGTCAAGGGCTTTATAACAGACTGTGGTAGATGGAGCCTGGTCAAGGGTTTTATAACAGACTGAGGTAAATGGCGACTGGTCAAGGGTTTTATAACAGACTGAGGTAAATGGCGCCTGGTCAAGGGCTTTATAACAGACTGAGGTAAATGGAGCCTGGTCAAGGGTTTTACTCTATAGAGTTATGACAACTGGTCTAGGGTTTTCTAACAGAGGTAATGAAAACTGACTATAACAAAGAATTGTTGTTATCACAAAGAAGATGTTTAATTGTTTTTACAGGTTCAGTTATCTGACTTTGAGAATGCTGCTTATGTTGTATTTATTGTACTGCTGACCAGGGTCATCCTGACCTATAACCTCAACTTAGTGATACCTATATCAAAGGTGAGGCATCAGCTTAGCTATTTATAAAATCATTATGAATTAATCACAACAATTCTGCAAGTTGTAAAGAAAAGTGTTTAATGAAATAGAGCTCAGTCTTATCAACATATCAGGAATTTCTGAATTTAGCTTTACTTTCAAATAGAACTTCCCAAAATTGAATTCAGCACTATAAATTACATACCAAAATATATCATATAAGTTATGTTATTTATTTAATGAAAAATTATTATAAAGAAATATTTTTAATTCAGAAATTTGATTTTGAATAAAATTCTTAAATTTACATCATGAGTTAATGACTAGATAATGTACTTCTATTTTTTATTTTCTTTTTTGGCTCCATCTTCAGATAAATGTTTACCTGTTTACATGTATAGAAATGTTTACCTGTTTACATGTAGATCAATGTTTACCTGTTTATATGTAGATAAATGTTTACCTGTTTATATGTAGATAAATGTTTACCTGTTTACATGTAGATAAATGTTTACCTGTTTACATGTACAGAAATGTTTACCTGTTTATATGTAGATAAATGTTTACCTGTTTACATGTAGATAAATGTTTACCTGTTTACATGTAGATAAATGTTTACCTGTTTATATGTAGATAAATGTGTACCTGTTTATATGTAGAGAAATGTTTACCTGTTTATATGTAGATAAATGTTTACCTGTTTACATGTAGATAAATGTTTACCTGTTTACATGTACAGAAATGTTTACCTGTTTATATGTAGATAAATGTGTACCTGTTTACATGTATAGAAATATATAGCTGTTTGCATGTATAGAAATGTTTACCTGTTTACATGTAGATAAATGTTTACCTGTTTATATGTAGATAAATGTTTACCTGTTTACATGTAGATAAATGTTTACCTGTTTACATGTATAGAAATATATACCTGTTTGCATGTATAGAAATGTTTACCTGTTTACATGTAGATAAATGTTTACCTGTTTACATATAGATAAATGTTTACCTGTTTATATGTAGATAAATGTTTACCTGTTTACATGTAGATAAATGTTTACCTGTTTACATGTATAGAAATGTTTACCTGTTTACATGTAGATCAATGTTTACCTGTTTATATGTATAGAAATGTTTACCTGTTAACAGGTAGATGAAAATATGAAGACAGCCCATCAGAGAGATGCAGTTCTGGATGGCAAGTTCCATTTCAGAAAAGAACTTTTCACAGGTGAGAATTGTAGTGTAAATTTACATATTACTATAGGTATAGATTTGGACAAACTGTTCCACCTTTGACAAAAAGTGGGCCCTATAATAATATTACTCAGGCCTGTCACAGTGTTGTGATCCACCTTTCTACATACAGCAATTATAAACCTCTACCAATGTCTACTTCGTAAGTCAGGGCTTAGATAGCTCAGTTTGTAGAACATCAGACTCTACAACCTCAAGTAGATATCTTAGGTCCCACTGAAGGACACTTGTGTTTATCATGTCAAGACCTTAGGTCCCACTGAAGGACACTTGTGTTTATCATGTCAGGATCTTAGGTCCCACTGAAGGACACTTGTGTTTATAATGTCAAGACCTTAGGTCCCACTGAAGGACACTTGTGTTTATCATGTCAAGATCTTAGGTCCCACTGAAGGACACTTGTGTTTATCATGTCAAGATCTTAGGTCCCATTGAAGGACACTTGTGTTTATCATGTCAATATCTTAGGTCCCATTGAAGGACACACAGATTGCTTTCTTCGCTGTGTCCTTGGGAAAGATATTTAGGTAATTACCATTTCTTACAAGGAGGCTTTGCCTCAGATTGACACTGTCTGTGCAATTAAGAATTAACAAATAAAGTTCTGTGATTGACATTTTCTTTTTTGTGACTCATTTTATCGTCAATACTTGACAGAGTGGGTTAAAGTCAAGAAGATGGTTTCTGACTTTCATTATTTTCATGTACCCTAATCAAAGCTCCCCTGGCCTGAAGATCCATGTGAACATACAGCATATCGAGGTGTTTGGCATCTGTCCATCAACTTGTCCTACAAATCACTGCTAGTCATGAGCGACCAAGCACATTGGGTCTGAAGCATGCTAAATGATAACCAGTTCTGTATAAATGATGGGTCTCAACATGTAGCAGCCTTAGGAGCACAACCCAAAATGGAAAATATAGCAAATCATCTTAAACCCATTTTCAGTAGGAATGATTCTATTTTGTCCAACTTTGATCTGAAGCATCCCTGGGTGAAGAAAATTGTTTTTTTTTTCTTACAAATGATGTATCTGACTCCCTAGTCTACTTTTTGAGTTCTATGTCGTGAAGTCTCATTGAAATATTTGTTGACTGACCCTGTGACCTTGATCATGATTTACATTTCTAATAAACTTGACCTACATTTGTCTAAACTTACATTGTTCTAGTGTTGATTATGACTCATTTTTTTTGTAGTTTGTTCCCCAGAAGAGATCGCCCAGTGTATGGCGAAAGGTTGTCCACGACAGAAGTGTGATTGTATGGATGACGAGTACCAACTGATGTCCATAAATGACATCATCAATGGCAATGTAAGTTTACTAGGGAAGCTTAAGTACACTATTATAATGAGAGTAAACTCAGGAAATCTGAGTTCACTAGGGAAGCTTAAGTACACTATTATAATGAGGGTAAACTCAGGAAATCTGAGTTCACTAGGGAAGCTTAAGTACACTATTATAATGAGGGTAAACTCAGGAAATCTGAGTTCACTAGGGAAGCTTAAGTACACTATTATAATGAGGGTAAACTCAGGAAATCTGAGTTCACAGAGGAAGTTTAAGTACACTATTATAATTAGAGTAAACTCAGGAAATCTGAGTTCGCTGGGGAAGTTATGTTCACTATTATAATGAATTATTAGAGTAAACTTTGGGAAATCTATGTACATTGGTTTATGTGTGCTCTGGAGCAGCGCAAGTACATTATTACCATAAGAATTAACTCAGGCAAGCTTAAGAAATGATGCAGAGGAGCCTATCAACTCAGTTCTTGATTGTCAATGTAATTTTCTTTCCTCAGGGGGAGTTCCCAGGTCTGATTCCTCTGATTGAGAAATACATCGCTAACGTAGACACAGATGTCGATACCTGCTGTACATTATCTAATTACCTCAAGTTCATCTCCAAGAAGGCATCAGGTAACATATCTAAATACATCATATCCTGTAGTAAATACAGGGGACAACACATTAACACTAAACCTGGGGCAGGTTAATTACACGGCAATGACACAGAATTGGTGTATAATTTTGTTAAACAGCAATACACCATGGGTATATATATCATTATCGCACATGGACTTATAGTTGAATACATACAATACAGTACGGTGAGGTATTATTGGTGTCATTCTCTCAACTTTCATAGATATAAAATTATAAGGGAATGTATAACTGAAGGCTTATTAAATGACAAGAAAACAGATTTGTAGATATCAGTCCCAAAGAACAGGAGATATATAGAAGTGTTTTGTGAATAGTATTATCAGCTTCTGGTAGTCTAAACATGGTTTATGTTCCATCCTTTATAAACAAAGATTGTTTTAAACATGTAGAAATATATCTCTGTGTTTAGTCTCCATTATTGTAAAACTTTTGTCTGATATTGTTTTAGAAGAATTATTTGTTTTTCCATTTTCAGGAGACCTGAAGACGACCTCAAAGTGGATCCGTGAGTTCATTCGTGATCATCCAGACTACAAACATGATTCTGTGGTATCTGAAACCATTAATTACGACTTGATGAAGATGTGTCAGCAGATATCAACAGGCGAGATATCATCCCCTCTTATACAGCAGACTGTGTCGTCAAAAACCGCAGACAACATTCCAACTGCCATGTCAAAGGCGGAGGGTTATCTTAGCCAGAAAAACCCAAGGTCCCGCACAGTCAATGGCCTACCATCCTCGTGATGACATTCTGTAGCATTTAGGTCAATATTGACCAGGAAACTTTGGTATGAGTGACATTTCAGTCTCACTTGTGAGCTCGTCAGTTATATATAGTTCTGTAGGTTCTTCAATCTGTTTGTAGGTTCTTCAATCTCACCTTTGACCCCATCAATTACATATATCTGTATGTATATAGCTGTTGGTTCTTCATTATAAGTGCTGTGCCTTCTTATTTATCTCTAAACTTGCTGGAATTCTGTTAAAGTAGGTTAGTATTAGATTATTTTATGTGTGTACAGTGTAAAAGCAGGGAGATACTGTGTATTTGTTTTGCAATTTGGCGATTTATCCATTTATTATGTACTTGACCAATATATTTTATATGCAACATATTAATCAGATACCTTTGTATATTATAAGGACCATGATATAAAAATAAATATCATTTAAATTCTCTGTCATCCTGACATTGGTGATATGCCCCACAGGTCCAAGGTCACTGTGACCTTACATGATATGAGACACTTACAGGAAACAATGTTATTCTCTATGTAACTAAACCAACCTATAAATTGTACTGGAAACCTTTCATCTCCAACATGATTACAACTGAAACAGAATGGAATTTATCTTAACCAATTAATTTCACCGTGGAATAAAATCTACGGATTTCATTGGATAATTGTTGTCACATGGTGACTATCTATTTCTGTAGACAGCAACACATCATTATACACAGTGGCAAAGTTTGTCAGCGTCGTTGTGGTTTGCGTCGGTTTGAAAGATTTTGAACACACAAAGAAGATGTATAGCAATGATGTCAATATTCAACGAATTGGTATCTCAGATTTATTAGTCCACCATCATCAGATAGAGTGCTGTTCACATTGCCCTATGTTCATGGTCCCTTTTCAGTCCATTTGTGTGTCCGTAAACAGTTTGTGTTATTGCTGTTTCTCAAGAAGTACCGGATTATCTTTCTCACATTTAAGATGTAGATTGCCCTTGGTCATAATTTGTACCCATTTTATTTAAAGACTGATTAGAAAAACAAAATGGCTGACAGTCAGCCATCTTTGATTTTGAAAAAGAAATTTTGTTAACGCTCTTTCTTGAGAAGAACTAGATAGATCTTTCTCAAATTTCATATTGAGGTTCCCCTTGTCCCTAGTTGTGCCCGTTTGATTTTAAGACTGATCAGAAAGACAGAATAGCCAAAAGATGGCCGTCTTTGATTTGAATCAATGATCGTTTATTATTGCTGTTTCATGAGTAGTACTGGATGGATATCTCACATTTCATATGTACATTTGTAGGTTCCCTTTGGTCCCTAGTCATGCCTGTTTGATTTTAGGACTTCTACGAAGAAAAAAGGGCAAAGATGTGATGATCTGGGATTTCAACAATGAAAGTTTGTTATCGCTGTTTGGAGGAAGTCCTATATGGATCGTTCTCAAATTTTCTGAGTAGGTTCCCTTGGTCTGTAGTTGTACTGTTTGATTTTGAGAATGATTGGAAAACAAGATGGCTGACAGGCAACCATCTAATCAGTGGTGGATGTGAAGATCCCTTTGGGATCCATTGTATGTAAAAATGATACATATGTACTTCTTGTAGACGACAGTCACAGTATTGGTCTCTGAATATCTGAGTTGCAGGGTTTAGACCTCCCTACCTTGTGCAAAACGTGTTTTTTAGGAAGCCAAAAAATAGCCAGGTTTGTGCTGATATGGTTATGTCCCTGGTCAGACTTATTATCCTAATTTCTCTGGAGAGTTTGAGAGGAGCTTCATATATGTTGTCTAGTGAGGTAGTCATGAGTTACTTTAAGGAAACCTGTCCTCAAAATGCTGTTCACAGTATGATAAAACCCACAAAATTCCTTCAGGGATGCCTCTGGCGTTCACAGTATGATAAAACCCACAAAATTCCTTCAGGGATGCCTCTGGCTGTTCACAGTATGATAAAACCCACAAAATTCCTTCAGGGATGCCTCTGGCTGTTCACAGTATGATAAAACCCACAAAATTCCTTCAGGGATGCCTCTGGCGTTCACAGTATGATAAAACCCACAAAATTCCTTCAGGGATGCCTCTGGCTGTTCACGGTATGATAAAACCCACAAAATTCCTTCAGGGATGCCTCTGGCGTTCACAGTATGATAAAAACCACAAAATTCCTTCAGGGATGCCTCTGGCTGTTCACGGTATGATAAAACCAACCAAATTCCTTCAGGGATGAAGTACAATGTGGTGAATGCTTCATGTTTCAAATTTTATGTTACCAATTATGATGTTAATTAATATAAAGAAATAAAACTTCTGAACTGATTCTCCACTGTCATGATGTTTGTAATGTTCTTGGATGAATAAGCTCATTTATTTGATTAGGTGCTGTTGTTAAAGAGAAATCAAGCTGGTTGTTGACTTTGCCTTGCCCTGTATCAATCTGATTGATTCTCTGTATTTCTGTAGACAGTCCTGACTTTGCCTTGCCATGTATAAATCTGATTGATTCCCTGTATTTCTGTAGACAGTCCTGACTTTGCCTTGCCCTGTATCAATCTGATTGATTCTCTGTATTTCTGTAGACAGTCCTGACTTTGCCTTGCCCTGTATCAATCTGATTGATTCTCTGTATTTCTGTAGACAGTCCTGACTTTGCCTTGCCCTGTATAAATCTGATTAATTCTCTGTATTTCTGTAGACAGTCCTGACTTTGCCTTGCCCTGTATAAATCTGATTGATTCCCTGTATTTCTGTTGACAGTCCTGACTTTGCCTTGCCCTGTATCAATCTGATTGATTCTCTGTATTTCTGTAGACAGTCCTGACTTTGCTTTGCCCTGTATAAATCTGATTGATTCTCTGTATTTCTGTAGACAGACATTCCTGACTTTGCCTTGCCCCATATCAATCTGATTAATTCTCTGTATTTCTGTAGACAGACAGTCCTGACTTTGCCTTGCCCTGTATCAATCTGATTAATTCTCTGTATTTCTGTAGACAGTCCTGACTTTGCCTTGCCATGTATAAATCTGATTGATTCTCTGTATTTCTGTAGACAGTCCTGACTTTGCCTTGCCCTGTATCAATCTGATTGATTCTCTGTATTTGTGTAGACAGACACTCCTGACTTTGCCTTGCCCTGTATAAATCTGATTGATTCTCTGTATTTCTGTAGACAGACAATCTCGGCTTTGATCCACAATGATTTGACTCAAAGTTTCTTTCATGAACACATTAGTTACAAAAGTCAGTACTATTGTATCAAGCAGAATAATATATAGCCACCCTTCAAATTCTGAAAAGAATGTTATGAAATGACATCAGTTTTAACATCAGTTCATATTTTTATGAAGTGATGTTAATTTTTGAAGAAATATTACACTGTTGCATTTTCATTTTTGTTTATTTTATATTACAAGTAAAAGACTATGTAAATTTTGAAAGTAATATTGATATCTTTACATCATATTGACAAGAATATTGTGATATGAAGTCCATTGATCTCTATCTCTTGTCATCAGAAAATGTTGACTTTTCAAAATTATTTTGTCCATGGACTTTCTGTCAGTCCATCGAAATCTGTAACACTTTTTCTCCAGGACTATCAATAGGATATTCTTGTTATATTTAAAGATCTTTGGTTTACAACCTGTCCTTTGTATTGTCATCATCATGACTGTACTCGTAAGCTATTATTTGGGGAGATTTCCTCTCGCAGTCATTCAAACTTGGTTGGCTTATAATCACTTTGATATAAGGCAGTCTTGTTTGTGTGATCCCAACATCTTCTGGTGTATTATTCAAATCTTTAATTCATAAACAATATTTGCTGTCATTATTTCTTGAGATATTTCACAAATTGCAATGGCATGCAGCCATCTTGAATTTGACAATGAAAGTTTGTTATCACCATTTCTTGAAAAGTACTGGATAGATCTTTCTCAAATTTCATATGTATCTTCTCCTTGTCCCCAAGTTGTTCCTTGTGGATTTTGGACTGATCAGAAAAAAAACCAGCCAAGAGAAGACCATCTTTGATTTGACAAATATCATTGCAGCTGTTTTTGTACAGGAATTTTTAAATGTCATATAATTAAGAGTAAGGACAGAGGATGGAAGGAATAGATATATAAGAAGGAAAAAATCCACAAAGAAAAAATGAATATCAAGCAATGATGACCACCAAGATTCCTATCGAATTTTATTTTCAGTATTGAAGTATTTTTTGAGATTTTTTGTTTTAATGGTTCCTTGATGTACTTTATTATCACGACATCTTCACGATATTTTCTTGGTTAAGGATGTCAAATACAGATACATGTATTCCTCCATCCCACTCACAAGTTGAGATTAGACTCCTTCACTTTTCCAGACACCAATTACAACAAACTCAAACTTGTATCTTAAAACATGTATTGTTTCAGTAAGACAACACTATTTGTGAAACACTCAATCAACACAAATGAAGAAATACAAAAAATAAGATTTACTGGGCATATATATCAGATAACATGTTATAACAACAGGTAGAAATATCAGATATCATGTTATAACAACAGATAGAAATATCAGATAACATGTTATAACAGGTAGAAACATCAGATAACATGTTATAACAGGTAGAAATATCAGATAACATGTTATAACAAGTAGAAATATCAGATAACATGTTATAACAAGTAGAAATATCAGATAACATGTTATAACAGATAACATGTTATAACAGGTAGAAATATCAGATAACATGATAACATGTTATAACAGGTAGAAATAACAGATAACATGTTATAACAAGTAGAAATATCAGATAACATGTTATAACAGGTAGAAATATCAGATAACATGTTATAACAAGAGGTAGAAATATCAGATAACATGTTATAACAGGTAGATATATCAGATAACATGTTATAACAAGTAGAAATATCAGATAACATGTTATAACAGGTAGATATATCAGATAACATGTTATAACAAGAGGTAGAAATATCAGATAACATGTTATAACAAGAGGTAGAAATATCAGATAACATGTTATAACAAGAGGTAGAAATATCAGATAACATGTTATAACAGGTAGATATATCAGATAACATGTTATAACAAGTAGAAATATCAGATAACATGTTATAAAAGGTAGAAATATCAGATAACATGTTATAACAAGAGATAGAAATATCAGATAACATGTTATAACAGGTAGATATATCAGATAACATGTTATAACAAGAGGTAGAAATATCAGATAACATGTTATAACAGGTAGAAATATCAGATAACATGTTATAACAGATAGATATATCAGATAACATGTTATAACAGGTAGAAACATCAGATAACATGTTATAACAAGTAGAAATATCAGATAACATGTTATAACAGGTAGAAATATCAGATAACATGTTATAACAAGAGATAGAAATATCAGATAACATGTTATAACAGGTAGATATATCAGATAACATGTTATAACAAGAGGTAGAAATATCAGATAACATGTTATAACAAGAGGTAGAAATATCAGATAAAATGTTATAACAACAGGTAGAAATATCAGATAACATGTTATAACAAGAGGTAGAAATATCAGATAACATCTTATAACAGGTAGATATATCAGATAACATGTTATAACAAGTAGAAATATAAGATAACATGTTATAACAGGTAGAAATATCAGATAACATGTTATAACAAGAGGTAGAAATATCAGATAAAATGTTATAACAAGAGGTAGAAATATCAGATAACATGTTATAACAGATAGAAATATCAGATAACATGTTATAACAAGAGGTAGAAATATCAGATAACATGTTATAACAGGTAGAAATATCAGATAACATGTTATAACAAGAGGTAGACATATCAGATAACATGTTATAACAGATAGAAATATCAGATAACATGTTATAACAAGAGGTAGAAATATCAGATAACATGTTATAGCAAGTAGAAATATCAGATAACATGTTATAACAAGTAGAAATATCAGATAACATGTTATAACAGGTAGAAATATCAGATAACATGTTATAACAGGTAGAAATATCAGATAACATGTTATAACAGGTAGAAATATCAGATAACATGTTATAACAGGTAGAAATATCAGATAACATGTTATAACAAGGTAGAAATATCAGATAACATGTTATAACAGGTAGAAATATCAGATAACATGTTATAACAGATAGAAATATCAGATAACATGTTATAACAGGTAGATATATCAGATAACATGTTATAACAAGAGGTAGAAATATCAGATAACATGTTATAACAAGAGGTAGAAATATCAGATAAAATGTTATAACAACAGGTAGAAATATCAGATAACATGTTATAACAAGAGGTAGAAATATCAGATAACATCTTATAACAGGTAGATATATCAGATAACATGTTATAACAAGTAGAAATATAAGATAACATGTTATAACAAGTAGAAATATCAGATAACATGTTATAACAAGTAGAAATATCAGATAACATGTTATAACAAGAGGTAGAAATATCAGATAACATGTTATAACAGGTAGAAATATCAGATAACATGTTATAACAGGTAGAAATATCAGATAACATGTTATGATATGTTTTATATATATCACTCACTCAGATAACATGACATTATATAGAGTACCAGGAATGTACAATAGAACTCTGTATTAAACATTACTAAAATAGAACACAGTATACCAGATGATATTTAAATCATTGGCTGAGATCATGATCTTTATGATATTAATAGATATAAACTTTGTAAAGATCAACAAGTGTGTATATAAGAGTTGAACCAGCAGAGACATTTTACATACTGACATACATAATGATTGTCATCTTCAATAAACATATTTTGATTGGCTGAATACATCAATAAACATATTTTGATTGGCTGAATGCATTAAATAAACATATTGTGATTGGCTGAGAGCATCATTAAAGTTACATAATACTGAATAGTAATGTTTCATCATTAAATTCATTATCTCTGTTCTGATTGGATGATATTTGAAGTTTTGTCATAGTACATATCCCATCATGAAGTTTCACATCCACTTGCAACTGTAATCATTGCACTTCTTTGTAAACAAGTTTTTAAATATCATATTTTGCCTCCACCTCCAAAAATGAAGTGTAGTTAACAAAAGTGATTAAATAACGTGATACATGATTTAGAAAACACATCATGTATATGATACCTGTTTTTATTAATCATCAGGATAAATTTCATGCCATGAACTACAAGTTTACATCTGTCATAACTGCCAAAGGTAACCTGTTTTTTAAACGTGTTCTTTTACTATAAAGATAAAACAAACCAAACACAAGTTACAGGTTACATTTGTCCAGAGATAAAAACTATTCAGGTTGAATGCAATAAGACCTTCAATGACAAATATGCTGGTGGAACACAAATAGGAAAATGTCAGGATACCCTCTACTGTGAAATGGAAGATTTTTGTGAAGAACAAATTACGTGATTTTCTTTACTAACATATGATTTCATTGATGCATAGTAACCACAAAACCTTGTGCTCAGTTGATATGTATTCTTAAATGTTAATCATTTCAAGATACAGGACAGATTCTGAATGGGACAAGGTAAAACAGAACAGACATGGCTGTACTGTCCACATGCCTCCCACAAAAAAACAGTGGCATTACAATGCAACCCTTTTAATTCTTAATCATGTCGCTAACATGTTTAAACATCTCCACAGGTCACAAGGTGGTATTGTATGACCACAATACACTGACCATACCCTGGTAGATGAAATTTATTTTGTGTCACTAACATGTTTAAATACCTCCACAGAAGGTCACAAGGTGGTATTGTATGACCACAATACACTGACCATACCCTAGTGGCTGAAATTGATTTTATGTCACTAACATGTTTAAACATCTCCACAGAAGGTCACAAGGTGGTATTGTATGACCACAATACACTGACCATACCCTAGTGGCTGAAATTGATTTTATGTCACTAACATGTTTAAATACCTCCACAGAAGGTCACAAGGTGGTATTGTATGACCACAATACACTGACCATACCCTGGTAGCTGAAATTTATTTTGTGCAGTTTATAAGAAATACTTCTATAAAAATCTGTTATATATAAACATCATATGTAAAAATAAAATAATTTATAATTAAGTGATCATACTACAAACATCAGTTATATATTGAGCTTTAGTTAAACTTTCCATAAAGGCCACCTGTATATAACATCCCATAGTAATACATATATAAAGGTCACCTCTCTTTAAAGGCCACCTGTGTATAACATGCCATAGTAATACATATATAAAGGTCACCTCTCTTTAAAGGCCACCTGTCTATAAAGGCCAAATGTGTCTGCTCCATTGAATGACCTTTATAGACAGGTTGAAGTGTAATAAACAGTTATAAATTATTTAGATAAACTGTCAGATTGCTGTTGACATTACTATGAAAGTATGTTTTCCTTTGGCAAAAGAATTTTACCTGCTAAGCGATACGGATTGTAGATTTGCTTCAAATCTTCAATGAAATGCTATGCATTGTGGTCAATTTTCACCCCTTCCCATTTGATGCCGTCAACTTTAGGTGGATAAAAGAATGACATGGGAAAGATGAAGTTCAACGCCCAATAATCTCCGAACACGGTACGAAAGTTAAAGTTTTTAGAGTTGGTATTTCTAACCGGCATTAATTTAGCCATTTCAAATGCTGTGTATCCTTTCGCAATAACAGTCATCTGAAAAGTGAAATATAAAAATCCAAAAGTTCCAAACAAGAATTCTAGATAGACTTGGCAAATCATCACAACAATATGGAAGGTAAGTGCTGGCCATCGACCAAACAGCCAGCGGTACATGGCAAATGGTGGAAGGAAATCTGTCCAGGACCAGCTGATAGGATAGTAAAATATCTGTAGGTATTTGTACTGGAAGTAACCACCAACCCATCCACACAGCAGAGCGTACAACGCTAGCACAGCAAAGTACCTCTGATTGTTCAGGCCAATACAGTTACCGACCATGAAGCAATGATGATCACGCTTCAATATACATCCTTTACAGAGGTCACAGTGCCACGATCGAGGGGGCATGTACAATTCGCATGTCTTACAGTAACGCCACCTAAGGCCTGAATCATCAGCATAGTGATCAGGCTCAAGGTCAACAGTCACTCCATTTTGAAAGGTGGAACGTGTCACATGATTCGAAGTTCTTAAGTGATCCTCTGTGTTGGAGGGATTTGATGACTGAATATTCTTGGGGACAGATGGATCACAAAGGATGACACAAAAATAGTTATACATGCCTTCAACAGTTCCAAGAATAACGAAGAAACTGAGAACATTACGAGTGCCTTGTGAGTAATCCTCAAACAAGTAGGGAATGATATAGTAAAGAAACATGAATAATTGGGATGGAGCTTCAAACGCCATCAACGATCGCATGATTATCTTCAGCGAATAATGATGGAACCTCAGTTTTTCTAGTTTCTCTTCTGGGTCTATCTCCACACTAACACTAGCCATGTTGGATCTGAAAAAGACAATGATAGATTGAGGATAATTTTTTCCTGTGTAATACGGTACTGTACATGGACCTGTTTTATATCTACATGTAAACAGTGAAATCTGTTTATACCACTCTCCAGACATGTGAACAGAAAACTCTGCAGTTATCTATTCTATATAATATTACTGGACAATGTTATATCTTCATGTAGTGATGTTAAATTAATCAAAGGTAAGGTCACTGGGTCAAACTGTCATTTCTTCATCAATATTTGAAAATGACGTCACATGACAGGATGTTGTCATCACCTCACAGGTCAAAAGTCAAGCAAAATCAATGAGGTCAAAAGCAAAATCAATGAGGTCAAAAGTCAAGCAAAATCAATGAGGTCTAAAGTCAAGCAAAATCAATGAGGTCAAAAGTCAAACAAAATCAATGAGGTCAAAAGTCAGGCAAAATCAATGAGGTCAAAAGTCAAGCAAAATCAATGAGGTCAAAAGTCAAACAAAATCAATGAGGTCAAAAGTCAAACAAAATCAATGAGGTCAAAAGTCAGGCAAAATCAATTAAATTAAGATATGGAGGTCACTGCATGCCTTGTTGACAGCATAATGAAGTAAAATTGACTAGATTTGCAGGACCTCATGTAGAGGTCAACAAACCACAGGTCAAGGTTAAATTTTTAACTGGCAAAATTTGCTATGGCATAATGATAAAACAAAATTGGTTGGAATGAATCAAGATGTATGATAGGGCAACATGCTGAGTTGATATTTTTTTGTCTCAGTGAAGAGAAAGTTTTATGGATGTAAAAAGTTTCTATGACCTTGTGCTTTTGTTTATCAAAAGTGCTTTCTGTTGTCAAAGATGTGGATAGCCAACATTGGTCAGTCTCCTGTAGATAATACCGGTATTCCTGTATAACATGAAAGAGTGTGGGACGAGGTCTCCAAACAAATGGAAGTTTGGGATGGGTCAATGATACTATGTACCATGATAATCTAAAAACATCATAAAACACAGTTTAGCCAAGGAAGTGCAGAAATTTTTTATTTATAAATAATGACACAGAATGAACATGACAACAGATGCTTAAACAATTTTCAAAAAAAAAAAAGATTCTGTACACTGTGGGAAAAAAATTTACAGTCAAATATATGGCACACAGATTCCTAGAGGTAAGTTACAGACAAATGCACTAATGGGGGTCAGAAACTGACAAGCAAAATCATACATAGGAAAACAAAATGGTACAGGTGAACCTCGTCATCCCAAATTCCTGTATCTCAAAACTCTGTTTGATTCAAAGCAAGTTGTTGGGCCCAGCCAAAATTCGTATCAAACATTTAAACTCAATTAACTGGAATACTCAGACATTTCAAAGTTTCCCAATAGCCTGCTGATGTTGACATAACGAGTTTCAACTGTTTATTATTTTCAAAACATGGCACACAGACAACTAGAAAAATAACCAACAAATTTACTGATGAGGATCAGAAACTGTCAAGAAAAACTACATTTCAAAAAAAGGTATACTATTTTAAAGTTACGGCACACAGACACCTAGAGAAATATCACAATTACTAACATATGTACTGAAGAGGTCCAGAAATTGACAAGCAAAACTACATTTCAAAAAAAGGTATACTTTTTTAAAGTTAAGGCACACAGACACCTAGAGAAATATCACAATTACATTACAAACAAATCTACTGATTGGGATCAGAAATTGATAAGTAATACTACATTTTAAAGATATATACTTTTTTAAAGTTAAGGCACACAGACACCTAGAGAAATATCACAATTACTAACATATGTATTGAAGAGGTCCAGAAATTGACAAGAAAAACTACATTTCAAAAAAAGGTATACTTTTTTAAAGTTAAGGCACACAGACACCTAGAGAAATATCACAATTACTAACATATATACTGTTTGGGATGAGAAATTGATAAGTAATACTACATTTTAAAGATATATACTTTTTTAAAGTTAGGGCACACAGACACTTAGAGATATATCACAATTACTAACATATACACTGAAGAGGTCCAGAAATTGACAAGCAAAACTACATTTTAAAAATGTTTATTTTTTTACAGATAAGGCACACAGACACGTAGAGAAATATTAGATTTATCAACAAATCTACTGATGAGGATCAGAAATTGACAAGCAAAACTACATTTAAAAAAAAGGAATACCTTTTTACAGTTGAGGCACACAGACACCTAAAGATATATCAGCATTACTAACATATGTACTGAAGAGGTCCAGAAAGTGACAAGTAACTATTTATTTCTGAAATCTAATTAAAGGCACATAGATCCCTGGAAAGATATTAGATTCACTGACAATTATTCAAATAGAAAAATTGGATATTGGATCTAAACAAATAGAAATAAAATTTGTTCTTTTAAAATATGGCACACAGATTCTCAGAGAAATATCAAGTTTGATAGCAATTTTACAAAATAATGGGATTTATATATAAATACCATGTAATACAGTCATATTTCTAACATCCAAAAATTTAGATTTACTGACAAATGCAAAACATAATGGTGAACACCATTTTTATCTTCAATTAGATTAGGCTAACATTCTGAAACAAATTATGGCACACAACTTCCTGCAAAATAACAGGTCAGAAATTGACAGATAAAAATATATTTCTAAAAACACACAACATAAATTCCTAGAGGATATATATATATTACAACTGTAAACTATTACGGGATTTGTAAACTTGCAAGTAAATTCATAATTAAAAAAATGGCACATTGTTTTCTAGTAATATATCACGTTTTCTGATTACTGTGTAAAGCAATGAAGACTGTAAATTGATAATAATGAATAAATTATATTTTCTGAACATGGCACATGTAGTCATTTCTACAAATTAAATGTGAAGACAATTAAACTGAACAAAAGATATTGTAAAATGATAAATAACATATATATGGCACAGTTATATATAAATGTTACTGGACAGTCCCATGATACAATTTAACACACTTTGTAATGCGACTAAAATTGTTAATGATACACGTATAATTTTAAAAAAGTCAGTTTTAAGTTACTGTTGGTCAGAAGACATCTAAACAAGCACTTTCTAACAGGTCGCAGTAAAGGTTGAGCTATTGAGCAAAGGAAACTCCATTCATGGTGTAGAAACTATTTTCTATTCTTAGTTACAGAGAACTTGAACTCTGACCTTCAAACTTTATGAGGTTAAAAGACATAGGGATAATGACCTTAAGTCAGAAGACCTTAAGCATGTGTTTTCTATATGGAATCAGATGACAGTGAAGTTTTGTTACACTGTTCATCAAGAAGAGCTAAAATAATCGCACAAAAAATCACATCGTAAGCAGCAGGTCCAACATTGACAATCATTCTGCGGTGCTGTTTCAGGAAACACAAATACAATGACATAATTACCCTGAATATTAAAAAGTCAGAGTTGTCAGGAGCGTGTTACTTCCACAAGGAATTGTTCTTTACTCAACAAGACTGCCTATCTGTTTTGTCTGGTATATTTTTATATAAAAAAAATCAAATATTGTAAAAATCATGTTTCAAGATTTTCCAAAAATAAATATTTTCTTTTGAACATGATTTCAGGGATAAATCTCACACAAAATTCACTAACATTGTAATCTATGTGAATTTCTCTTTTTACCGTTTCATGAACATAGAATACCTACAGATTTAACAAAAATACAGTCCCCATAAAAATGAATGACTTCACAGTAAGGCGCACACTTTAACATTTCGAGAAATAACATTTATTTAACATCTGAGGTGAGGAAGACCACCAAATTAAAAAATACTTTAACATTAGCACCTATACGACATTAAACTTGTAGAATTTTACAGAGTTGAGAATTTAAAACAAACTTAGATCAAGTGATGTCATATAATATTTATCCTGCGCAAACTTAGAGCAATCAACAAAATACAGTGACTCAATATCAGGGGGTGGACTTATTACAGAACAATGAGAAAAAAATATGTTAATTCTACTGAATTTTCACTAGACCATGACTTATTGCTAGATAAACACACTATTATTTTGAGCTATTTTGGCAAAGTCAATTTCTGTTCATAAATTGGTGTCTGCCAATGGACTAATTATGAAGGTAGTGTTTAGGTCTCTGTGATGGATTGCTGGAATACCTCCAGGTCTATTTTTCGATGTTAACTTATCATCAATATGTTCCCAAAATGAGGTTAAATACTTTTTAACCTAAATATTGCAGAATATGAAATGTCCACATAGGACGTGATTCAATATTGCCCATAGTTCAATCATTTTGTCCTAGAATTTCATCCTTTTTTTGCCATTATAGCATCTAAAGTTTGTTGTACTAATTCAACAAGGATTTAAATCTATAATGAAGAATAAAATCCTTTTCTTGTCTTTTAAACTTCAGACAGTTTTAAATCTTTTACGAAAATTTGTGCATTTAAGGAGCATGCCTTAAAAGTTAAAAATAAAACAAAATAAAAAAGGACTGATTAACTGACTGAAAGGCTCCAGACAATTTACACGAACCATGACAAAAAGTGTCTCGATCTAAAATTCAGTATCCTGAATTAGACAGTAAACAACTGTAGTTACTGAAAATGTGTACAAAATAACATTTTACATTGCTTGCTTTGTTGGTTAACAAGTTGTTCGTCTCCGTGACACCTCCCGTGTTTGGGTATCGTCTCACCGACAAACGTCAGTGATCTGGCGATGTGATTGACATTGCAAAATTATCAAAATGAAAAAAATATCAACATGTAATACCAGGAAAAAAGATGTACATTTATAACTCTTTAGAGAAATTAATCCAAATAAAAATATCATGTATAAACAACTACAACTAAACTGACATCAAAAAAAAAAAATCATATGTATCCCCCTCCTCCCCCCCCCCCCAACCCCCTTTAAAAAAAGTGAATTTGCAGGAAAGGAAAGGGAGATAAACTCCAAAGGTCTGTGCTATAATGCCTGCTCTAGCCCCTAATTAGTCCCTATCAGTGTAACTCTCTGGACTATACAATCATACAACATAACCACTGCTGACTTTAAGCTGTGTTGACTGATCTCATATTAATGTAACCAATTTTTGCTTAATCAGTTGGATTTTTCCTGGAGATTTGCATTATGATCTAATTTGATGCCTTCCCATGACCTGCCATCTTCTCTCTGACGAAAGATCAACTGCATCGGGAAAAAGAAATTTAGAATCCAAAAATCACCAAATACAGATCGGAAGTTATGATTTACGCTATTTAAGCTTCGAATGGGAATAGATTTAGCAAGTTCGTACAGTGTTTTTCCTTGGACAATCATAGAGATTTGTGTAGTGAAGTACGTGAAGCCAAAGAAACCGAACAGAAACTCAAGGTAGACCTGAATGATCATGATACAGATGTGAAGGGACATCCCGTCTACCGTCCCGAAAAGCCAGCGATAGAACGCTACAGGAGGAAGGAAGTCTGTCCATGAGTAACTTTGTGGATAATAAAACTGTTGTAGATATTTGTACTGGAAATAACCACCCACAAATCCAACAAGAACAGCATAAAATGTCAACACCACAAAGTATCTCTGGTTCTTAAAACCGATACAATTTCCCACCATAAAGCAGTGGTGATCCCGCTTCAAAATACATGCTTCACATGTGTCACAATGATGGGTACGTGGGGGCTGGTACATTTTACAAATTTCACAATATTTCCACTCAAACCCAGAAACATCAAAATTCTGGTGATGCATTGGAAGAGCAGACCCATTCTGGTTAGTTGTGTGTATGGACATGAAATAATCAGGTGGATTTTGCCAGCGATTGTTCAGTCCAGGTAAGTCGGGTCGATCCTTGTCATTGGGAATTGTGGTATCGTACAAAATGGTACATAGCCAATTGGCCACGCCTTGTATAGCAAGGTAAGTAACAAAAACCTTCAGGTAATATTGTGTCCATTCATCGTAGTCTTCAAACAGGTACGGAATGATGTAGAAATGAAACATAAAAAGCTGAGTGGGAGCCTGGACGCTCATCAAACCTCTCATGAACCTCTTGGCGGCATCTTTGTGACGTTTCTCGACTTTTCTGTTGTGGTAATGATCACTCAGTTTTTCCATCAAAGTCTTGGATTCTTCTCTGTTACCGATGTCAAGAGCAACAACACCTGCCATATTGTATCTGAAATTCATTTCAAATATTGAATTAATTTATAATATCAAAAAATCATTTTAGACATAAAAATTGAATTTTTAATATTAGACAATCATATCTGATTTATCAATATTAAAAAATCATTTTTCCACGCATTAAAAATGATTTGTTAATATTAGAATTATTTTAATACTTGAAGATGAATTTCCTTTTACACCCAGGCATCATTTCTTAGTGTTCTGTTCAACTTGACAAAAGGCTAAACTTATCCTGTCAGTGTCTGTGTCAATAAACTTTCCCTTAAAAAAGCACTCGTTCTATATGATTGACCAAATTTCAATAAAATCTTGTCTAATACATTACTGCAAGTAAATTCTGGAAAATAAACAAAATTTCTTCTTGTTACATACAGAAGTGTTTTTTTTTTGAGAAAAAATATGGAAAGGTCATGTGTTGATTAATATTGATGTATATATAGTAGGTAAGGACACTTTTCTCACTGATGCAGAAAATTAAAGTAGACAAGTGCCACCATGCAGACTTCATTGCTAACTGCATTTACGGTTATGTAAACGCAACATCTGATCTAGGATTACATAGAGGCATATTTTAGGGGCTCTTGTGGTAAAGAAATTACAATGATTGGGGGGTGGGGTGGGGGCGGGTCTTCGGGAAACACAAACAGCAAAAGAGGTCAAATAAATATTGCATAAATGTAAACAATCCAACGCCACATAGGCAGAGCTGTATGACTGAACAACATTAGGAAGTAAATCGCTTTACAACTTTAAAGACTGGGTCCCAAATGTGTAGCATTAGTCCTCTAACGCGAGCTATTTCAGTTAATATTTATTGAAAAGGAAAAGGCATATAGAGTAAACAATCTGTATAGGTTGGCATTAATATTGAAACAGAAAAAAAAATCTAAAATCTTGCATTTGTGCCCTTACTGGGAATCGAATCCGATCGCCTTAGGGTAAACAAACGGTGACCGGTGTGGAGTGTCAGCGCTTGGTGATGTAGAGTTGAAGGAGGAGGTAGGGTGTAGGAGAGAGGAGGGGGCGTTGGGCCATCCACATATACTCGAACTTGTTAAATAAAGTATTATATACAGCACATTTGTTTAGTGAACACGTGTATCAGTAATACATTATACTACAGAAGGGTGAATCATGTTACATACCTGATTATATTACACACCGGTGTCCAGGTAAACACACATTTATCACTCAGCTCTGACCATGTTTTCTGACACTACGTTCAGGCTTTGTGATGTCCAGTTCTTACCCAGGGACATGAAAGCACATGTACAGATCACGCTTTCTTTAGCACCGGTCACGGGTCGATGGACACCGGTTTTAACGGTACGTGTATGCGCATGCACTTGTTTACTCGGCGTCATTGACAACATAAATAGTTGTCGTACTGTTGTGATTTTCCATTTCAACAACGACAATCTGTTATCTACCCAAGTTCGGTCGAGTTAGTTATACGATGTTTCTAGACATACTAGCTATCACATGTCCAAATTTCCAACATTATTTTCACCCAGACAACATGTGTGACAAGAGGTCAACCGTTTATAGTTTAAGTACAAGTAATCCCATTGGTTAACACCAATGTTGGTAGCATATGGTGATATACAGAAAAGTATACATGTCATTGTCAATAGCTAAACCTATCTAAGACATCCAGTAGCAGTAAGAACTCCATTACTGTACATGATATACGGCCGTGAGTTTTTTTGTTTTTTTTGTTTTTTTTTTGTTTTGTTTTTGTTTTATATATATATATTTATAAGCTGTATTCGTCAAAACGTTTCCGGTTGAGATAAAGACATACCCGAAAACCTCTCTCTCATGAATTTAGTTTTACTTTCAGTTTCTTTATTAGTCCACATCTTATTATCACTAGACAACACAAACACGTATAATTTACCACTCAGTATACTGCAAACCACATTTAACATTACATACTCTGTCACATTCATTTCATTATAAGTCTTACCCAATACACAAATAACATATACTGGATATTGCTAAACCAATTAAATCTATTCTATCTTCTATATCTATTCCATCCCCTATATCTATTCTATCTCCCTATATCTTTTATATCCCTATATCTATTCTATCTCCCTATATCTATTCTATCCCCTGTATCTATTCTATCTCCTATATCTATTCTATCTCCCTATATCTATTCTATCTCCCTATATTTATTCTATCTCCTATATCTATTCTATCTCACTATATCTATTCTATCTCACTATATCTATTCTATCTCCCTATATCTATTCTATCTCCCTATATCTATACTATCTCCCTATATCTATTATATCTCCCAATATCTATTCTATTCCCTATATCTATTCTATCTCCCTATATCTATTCTATCCCCTATATCTATTCTATCTCCCCTATATCTATTCTATCTCCCCTATATCTATTCTATTCCCTATATCTATTATATCTCCCTATATCTATTCGATCCTCTATATCTATTCTATCCCCTATATCTATTCTATCTCCCTATATCTATATCTATATATCCCCTATATCTATTCTATCTCCCTATTCTATCTCCCTATATCTATTCTATCTCCATATATCTATTCTATCCCCTATATCTATTCTATCCTCTATATCTATTCTATCTCCCTATATCTATTCTATCTCCTATATGTATTCTATCCCTATATATATTCTATCTTCCCCTATATCTATTCCATCCCCTGTATCTATTCTATCTCCTATATATATTCTATCTCCCTATATATATTCTATCCCCTATATCTATTCTATCTCCCTATATCTATTCTATCTATCTCCCTATATATTCTATCTCCTATATCTATTCTATCTCACTATATCTATTCTATCTCACTATATCTATTCTATCTCCCTATATCTATTCTATCTCCCTATATCTATCTATCTCCCTATATCTATTATATCTCCCAATATCTATTCTATTCCCTATATCTATTCTATCTCCCTATATCTATTCTATCCCCTATATCTATTCTATCTCCCCTATATCTATTCTATCTCCCCTATATCTATTCTATTCCCTATATCTATTATATCTCCCTATATCTATTCGATCCTCTATATCTATTCTATCCCCTATATCTATTCTATCTCCCTATATCTATTCTATCTCCTATATCTATTCTATCTCCCTATATCTATTATATCCCCTATATCTATTCTATCTCCCTATATCTCCCTATATCTATTCTATCTCCTATATCTATTATATCTCCCTATATCTATTCTATCCTCTATATCTATTCTATCCTCTATATCTATTCTATCTCCCTATATCTATTGCATCCTCCCATATCTATTCCATCCTCCTATATCTATCCCATCCACCTATATCTATTTTATCCCCTATATCTATTCCATCCTCCTATATCTATTCCCTCCTCCTATATCTATCTCATCCTCCTATATCTATTCTATATCCCTATATCTATTCTATCTCCCTATATCTATTCTATCCCCTATCTATTCTATCCCTATATCTATTCTATCTCCCTATATCTATCCCTATCTATCTATCCCTATATATATCTATCTTCCTATATCTATTCTATCTCCCTATATCTATATCACCTATATCTATTCTATCCCCTATATCTATTCTATCTCCCTATATCCCCTATATCTATTATAACTCCCTATATCTATTCTATCCTCTATATCTATTCTATCCCCTATATCTATTCTATCTCCCTATATCTATTCTATATCCCTATATCTATTCTATTCCCTATATCTATTCTATCTCCCTATATCTATTCTATATCCCTATATCTATTCTATCTCCCTATATCTATTCTATCCCTATCTATTCTATCCCTATATCTATTCTATCTCCCTATATCTATTATATCCCTATATCTATTCTATCTCCCTATATCTATTATATCTCCCTATATCTATTCCATCCTCTATATCTATTCTATCCCCTATATCTATTCTATATCCCTATATCTATTCTATATCCCTATATCTATTCTATCTCCCTATATTTATTCTATCCTCTATATCTATCATATCCCCTATATCTATTCTATCCTCTATATCTATTCTATCTCCCTATATCTATTCTATCTCCCTATAATTATTCTATCCCCTATATCTATTATATCTCCCTATATCTATTCTATCCCCTATATCTATTATATCCCCTATATCTATTATATCCCTATATCTATTATATCTCCCTATATCTATTCTAACCTCTATATCTATTCTATCTCCCTATATCTATTCTATCCCTATCTATATCCCTATATATATCTATCTTCCTATATCTATTCTATCTCCCTATATCTATTCTATCACCTATATCTATTCTATCCCCTATATCTATTCTATCTCCCTATATCTATTCTATCCCCTATATCTATTATAACTCCCTATATCTATTCTATCCTCTATATCTATTATATCTCCTATATCTATTCTATTCCCTATATCTATTCTATCTCCCTATATCTATTCTATATCCCTATATCTATTCTATCTCCCTATATCTATTCTATCTCCCTATATCTATTCTATATCCCTATATCTATTCTATCTCCCTATATCTATTCTATCCTCTATATCTATTATATCTCCTATATCTATTCTATCCCTATATCTATTCTATCTCCCTATATCTATTATATCCCCTATATCTATTCTATCCTCTATATCTATTCTATCTCCCTATATCTATTCTATCTCCCTATATCTATTCTATCCCCTATATCTATTATATCTCCCTATATCTATTCTATCCCCTATATCTATTATATCCCCTATATCTATTATATCCCTATATCTATTATATCTCCCTATATCTATTCTATCCTCTATATCTATTCTATCTCCCTATATCTCTTCTATCCCCTATATCTATTCTATCTCCCTATATCTATTCTATCCCCTATATCTATATCTATCTCCTATATCTATTATATCCCCTATATCTATTCTATTCCCTATATCTATTCTATCTCCCTATATCTATTCTATCTCCCTATATCTATTCTATCCCCTATATCTATTATATCTCCCTATATCTATTCTATCCCCTATATCTATTATATCCCCTATATCTATTATATCCCTATATCTATTATATCTCCCTATATCTATTCTATCCCCTATATCTATTATATCTCCCTATATCTATCTATCATCTCCCTATATCTATTCTATCCCCTATATCTATTATATCCCCTATATCCCTATATCTATTCTATCTCCCTATATCTATTCTATATCCCTATATCTATTCTATCTCCCTATATCTATTCTATCCCTATCTATTCTATCCCTATCTATTCTATCCCTATATCTATTCTATCTCCCTATATCTATTATATCCCTATATCTATTCTATCTCCCTATATCTATTATATCTCCCTATATCTATTCTATCCTCTATATCTATTCTATCCCCTATATCTATTCTATATCCCTATATCTATTCTATATCCCTATATCTATTCTATCTCCCTATATTTATTCTATCCTCTATATCTATCATATCTCCTATATCTATTCTATCCTCTATATCTATTCTATCTCCCTATATCTATTCTATCTCCCTATAATTATTCTATCCCCTATATCTATTATATCTCCCTATATCTATTCTATCCCCTATATCTATTATATCCCCTATATCTATTATATCCCTATATCTATTATATCTCCCTATATCTATTCTATCCTCTACATCTATTCTATCTCCCTATATCTATTCTATCCTCTATATCTATTCTATCTCCCTATATCTATTCTATCCCCTATATCTATTCTATCTCCTATATCTATTATATCCCCTATATCTATTCTATTCCCTATATCTATTCTATCTCCCTATATCTATTCTATCTCCCTATATCTATTCTATCCCCTATATCTATTATATCTCCCTATATCTATTCTATCCCCTATATCTATTATATCCCCTATATCTATTATATCCCTATATCTATTATATCTCCCTATATCTATTCCATCCTCCTATATCTATCCCATCCTCCTATATCTATCCCATCTCCCTATATCTATTCTATGTCCTATATCTATTCTATCTCCCTATATCTATTTTATCTCCTATATCTATTCTATGTCCTATATCTATTCTATCTCCCTATATCTATTTTATCTCCTATATCTATTCTATCTCCCTATATCTATTGCATCATCCTATATCTATTCCATCCTTCTATATCTATTCTATCCCCTATATCTATTGCATCCTCCTATATCAATTCTATCCCCTACATCTATTGCATCCTCCTATATCTATTCCATCCTCCTATATCTATTCCATCCTTCTATATCTATTCTATCCCCTATATCTATTGCATCCTCCTATATATATTCTATCCTCCTATATCTATTGCATCCTCCTATATCTATTCTATCTCCCTATATCTATTGCATCCTCCTATATCTATTCCCTCCTCCTATATCTATTCCATCCTCCTATATCTATTCCATCCTCCTATATCTCTATTCCCTCCTCCTATATCTATTCCATCCTCCTTTATCTATCCCATCCTCCTATATCTATTCTATCCCCTATATCTATTGCATCCTCCTATATCTATTCTATCCCCTATATCTATTGCATCCTCCTATCTCTATTCCCTCCTCCTATATCTATTCCATCCTCCTATCTCTATTCCCTCTATATCTATTCTATCTCCCTATATCTATTCTATATCCCTATATCTATTCTATCTCCCTATATCTATTCTATCCCCTATATCTATTCTATCTCCTATAACTATTCTATCCTCTATATCTATTCTATCTCCCTATATCTATTCTATCTCCATATATCTATTCTATCCCCTATATCTATTATATCTCCCTATATCTATTCTATCCCCTATATCTATCATATCCCCTATATCTATTATATCCCTATATCTATTTTATCTCCTATATCTATTCTATCTCCCTATATCTATTGCATCCTCCTATATCTATTGCATCCTCCTATATCTATTCCATCCTTCTATATCTATTCTATCCCCTATATCTATTGCATCCTCCTATATCTATTCCATCCTCCTATATCTATTCCATCCTTCTATATCTATTCTATCCCCTATATCTATTGCATCCTCCTATATATATTCTATCCTCCTATATCTATTGCATCCTCCTATATCTATTCTATCTCCCTATATCTATTGCATCCTCCTATATCTATTCCCTCCTCCTATATCTATTCCATCCTCCTATATCTATTCCATCCTCCTATATCTCTATTCCCTCCTCCAATATCTATTCCATCCTCCTTTATCTATCCCATCCTCCTATATCTATTCTATCCCCTATATCTATTGCATCCTCCTATATCTATTCTATCCCCTATATCTATTGCATCCTCCTATCTCTATTCCCTCCTCCTATATCTATTCCATCCTCCTATCTCTATTCCCTCCTCCTATATCTATCCCACCCTCCTATATCTGTTCTATCTCCCTATATCTATTGCATCCTCCTATCTCTATTCCCTCCTCCTATATCTATTCCATCCTCCTATATCTATTTCATCCTCCTATATCTATCCCGTCCTCCTATATCTATTCCATCCTCCTATATCTATTCCCTCCTCCTATATCTATCCCATCCTCCTATATCTATTCTATCCCCTATATCTATTGCATCCTCCTATCTCTATTCCCTCCTCCTATATCTATTCCATCCTCCTATATCTATTTCATCCTCCTATATCTATCCCATCCTCCTATATCTATTCTATCCCCTATATCTATTCTATCCCCTATATCTATTCCATCCTCCTATATCTATTTCATCCTCCTATATCTATCCCATCCTCCTATATCTATCCCGTCCTCCTATATCTATCCCATCCTCCTATATCTATCCCATCCTCCTATATCTATCCCATCCTCCTATATCTATTCCATCCTCCTATCTCTATTCCCTCCTCCTATATCTATTCCATCCTCCTATATCTATTTCATCCTCCTATATCTATCCCATCCTCCTATATCTATTTCATCCTCCTATATCTATCCCGTCCTCCTATATCTATCCCATCCTCCTATATCTATCCCATCCTCCTATATCTATTCCATCCTCCTATCTCTATTCCCTCCTCCTATCTCTATTCCATCCTCCTATATCTATTTCATCCTCCTATATCTATCCCGTCCTCCTATATCTATTCTATCCCCTATATCTATTGCATCCTCCTGTATCTATTCTATCTCCTATCTCCTATAATATATCCTACCTAATCATACACTTTCGTCATTTAGACGCTTACGTATCTACCTATATAGCTTAATTCTTTAGTATTTTCCAGTCTCATTAGTTGTATAAATTTAAGCATGCTTGGACGATTGATATAAAATGGCTTAATAAATGTCCAGTGTATATCTGCATAAAATGGACACTTAGTTACAAAATGGCACTTTCGATCTCCAAGTCCTATACTGACATTCCGGCTCAGTATGGTAATAAATTTCAAATGTTTGATATTGATGGAATTTTTTTCCATATATCTTTGTAAGGACAATGTGTCTACAAAGTGTTGATACAGGTAATCTTTAGAAGATTTAATACTATCCAAACATCCTAGTTGGAATATATCGATAAGTCGAGATTTAATCAAGTTACGGTGTGTATCATCTACTATATTTAAAAATTAATTAATTAAATTATATATCCTAATCCAACCATATTTAATTATTGTCGCAATTTCATTATCCTTGTGTACTTACTCCTAACTTATTTTAAAATTTATTTGTATTTTTGCAACATCATTAGATTATGGAATCTCCAACTTTCACTTCCATAAGACAAAGCACTAATACGACAAGTACCAAAGACTGTTAAACAACTTCCAACATAAAAAAATACATTTATCGATGAGAAAAGTACCTTGCGGCCCCGTTTCGCAATTTCCTTTTGAGTTTTGAAGAACTTTCCATTATAATTTAACATAAGTCCTATGATTATTAAACTTGTCAATTACTTCAAGTTCTTCCTTATAAAATCACTTTTCATTTATATCCGCCCCCTCCATTTAGAAATATAATTATTTTAGTTTTTCCAGTGGCTATAATAATTAGATGAATATAAATTGTTAAACTTTGGGTGAATGAAAGACGACATCTTCATGGAAATGCCATTGTGCTCCATGGCTTGTCAATACAATAAAGACTCTAAGATAAATAGACAAGTTCTTTCTGTTATAAACATGTGAGAAATAAAATGAAGAAATACAGAGATAACTACTGTCATACCAAGGAAATAAATAATTTATTAAATAAAATCCAGGTGTTGACACAATAATCAGTAGTTACTTCAAATCAATTCGTTCTATTATCAGACGAGACCAGTTGTGAGAATGGAATCAATAACATCAAATTAAATCGATTATTAACTGATATCAATTGGTTACCTGCTGTTATAACAGTTTTGATATTAAGCGAATTAAAGCGATTACAATTAGTTGATTTTCTCCTGCAAATTTGCATTTTGATCAAGTTTGATGCCTTCCCATGTTCGACCGTCGTCTGTTTGTGGAAATATCAGCTGCATTGGAAAAAGAAAGTTCAGAATCCAGAAATCGCCAAACACTGACCGAAAGTTGCGATTAAAACTATTTAAATTTCGAATAGGTATAAATTTCGCAAGTTCATGTAAAGTTTTTCCTTGAGGAATTATCGTTATTTGTGAATTGAAATAGATGACACCGAAAATTCCGTAAATTATTTCTAAGTATACGTGAATGATCATGATACAGATGTGTAGGGACAGTCCATCTACAGTCCCGAACAACCAGCGATAGACAGTTACAATTGGTATAAAATCGGTCCACGCGTAACTTTGCGGATAGTAAATCTGTTGTAGATATTTGAACTGAAGATACCCGCCAAAGATTCCAAATATTACTGCGTAAAATGTCAACACCACAAAGTATCTCTGATTCTTAAAACCAATACAGGTCCCTACCACAAAACAATGGTGATCCCGCTTCAATATACATGCTTCACATATGTAACAATGATGGGTGCGTGGGGGCTGGTTCATTTCACAAATCTCACAATATTTCCACTCAAATCCAGAACTATCCACGTGCCGTTGCTGCGTTGGAACAGCAGATCCATTTTGGTCGGCCGTATGTATTGACACAAAATGATCGGGCGGATTTTTCCAGCGGTCGTTCATCCCCGGTAAATCTGGGCGGTCTTTGGTTTTCAGAAGTCTGGTGTCGTAGAATATAGTAAACAAATAGTTGGTAATGATGAGCACGGCTCCGTATGTCACCAGAACTTTAAAGTAGTACTGAGTCCAATCGTCATAGTCATCTAACAAATAAGGTATGAGATAACGGTGAAGCATGTATAGTTGAGTCGGCGTCTGGAACGCTACCAGCCATCGGATGGCGTTCTGGGCGGCCCTCTTGTGACGTTTGTCCGTCTTTCTGCCTTTGTATTTATAGTGAATACGCAACTGTTCCATCAAACCTGTAGGTTTTTCTTCGTCACCGATCTCTAAAGCCACCTCTCCCGCCATATTGGACCTGAAACAGCAATATTGATACACATTCGAAATCGTCAGAAAGACAGAAATTGTGTATACTTCCAACATGTAACAACAGAGTCGGACACAGAGCCCTTCAACTGCATACCCGACCATGTGTCGCGAGATTCTAACACAGAGTCCTTCAACTCCATCTCCTACCATCTGTCGCGAGCGCGAGAGTCCTTCCACCTCATCTCCGACCATGTGTCGCGAGATTCTAACACAGAGTCCTTCCACCCCATCTCCGACCATCTGTCGAGAGATTCTAGCACAGAGTCCTTCAACTCCATCTCCTACCATCTGTCGCGAGCGCGAGAGTCCTTCCACCTAATCTCCGACCACGTGTCGCGAGATTCTAATACAGAGTCCTTCCACCCCATCTCCGACCATCCGTCGCGAGATTCTAACACAGAGCCCTTCAACTCCATCTCCGACCATCTGTCCTGAGATTCTAACACAGAGCCCTTCAACTCCATCTCCGACCGTCCGTCCCGAGATTCTAACACAGAGTCCTTCCACCCCATCTCAGACCATGTGTCGCGAGATTCCAACACAGCCCTTCCACCCCATACCCGACCATGTGTAGCGAACAGCACCTACTTTGGTAGACTACAACTGTGTGCTGCTTCTAACAGAATTATGTTATCACTGGGAAATATTTGAAACTTTCACTAAATGAACAGAACTGTCAATTGTTATCCTCTGTGGTAAAATTTCACTAGGCGCACAGTTGCAACGTTACAAACTTGGATTGTAGTGTCGATTGTTTGCCTGAAATGTAAGACGACACTTTTAAAGAACCTCTCGGGCGCCCTTAAACGTGAAACTTATCACTTTTCCAGAAAAAGTAAAATCTGCAAATATGTTCAAAACCTTTAGAAGTTTAAATACAATTGTAATCCGCACTGGCGGCGGCATTCTTACAAAGAATCGACATCGCGGAACGTCCGTGTGGACGTATGACCAAATATCGACTGAATGGTGTTCGGGTAAGGCGGTCGCACGGACAGACGGTCGTGATCGTTGATATGATATGTCATGTGAAATCGACGGACAGATGTATGTGTCTTCTCTAGAGGTCGTAATAGCTCAGCCGGTTTGAGCGGTTTGGGTTTCACGCGAAGAGCTGATAAACTGACCGTCATGTGTTGACGTAGTTGTCTGCCCTTGGGCGGTAAACTTTACTCTGATCACCCTGGATGGCAGTGGGTGGGCCTCCCGTATGTTGTTCAGTGTTAATATCAGCTACTACAAGGAGACTCGCCACATCATTATCTTGGCTGCTGGTAGAGTGATAGCCCAGCAAACAAACACAATATTACGGAACATTACCATCAATCAGATGTTTCGTCCTCTCCCGTGGATATGTGGAGGAATCGTCATATTTCCTGTAGAATTACAACCTGTAAGATTTCAAAACTATCTGACATGTTTACTTGAATATATAAAATGTTTGTTTTAATCTAGAATTTGTTTTTTTTTTTTTTTTTTGGGGGGGGGGGGACATGATGTATGTACGAGGCGAGCTACTGAGAGAGGGTTATCGATTCTTCAAACTGTTCTTGTCCGTGTTTATTAATGAAACGTTTTATCGGATTTGATCACCATCAATTACCTAAACAAGATAAAATGTTTCCGTATCTATTTTGTCCAACGAATAAAGAACCGATACATCAAGTGTATAATCATGATCCGTTAATCAGACCAGCCTGGAGTGTGTAAAGGGTGAATCCGTGACCCCGGTCATTACAAATAACAGGCAGCGCTCCACCTCCAGTCTCCAACCCACCCACCCCTCACCCCAAATCCCCCAAATTCCAACCCACCTACCCCTCAATCCCCCCCCCCCCCCCCCCCCAAAAAAAAATAAAACCCACAGACGCGTTTTAAACACGATAAATTGATACGTTGATAACTAGGAATGTTGAGACACGCAGAAAAAATCAAACAGAATGATGAGTCTACCTAGGTCAGCAAATCGGTATTGAGGTAAACACATGGATTACATTGTACAGGAAATTGTTGTTGAACTTACCTTTCTACATCCTACCCCCCCCCCCCCAACACACTCACACACCAACCTCCCTCATTCTACCACCCACCCCCTACTTCTTCCGTACTTACCTGAATGCCATTATACAGCTGTTTTATAGAGAACTCAAGTTACATACCTTATATTAAGATAATTTATAGTGTACCTGATACAGGTGAGTGACATAATTACAGGTAAAAATAACATGGCTTACCTGATCATCACTGAAGACAGTCTTGTACTGGCTTTATGTGTTTACTGACCGATTGATCTAGTGCTGTCCAGCAGGTCTGACCATGATTAGACGCCGTGGTCCAAGCTTAGACAAGAAAACACATGTTCCCCTAGCACTTTCCTTTAGTTCCGTTACAGATGACTACACACACATTTAAACGTAAGTGTGTACTGTTTACAGGTCGTCACTGGCAACGTAACAAATCAATAGCAATGAAATTTGACTATCGCACGCGTATAAATGAGCAAGCCTAACTAGGCACATAATATGTAAGTATTATCCAAACACTTAAGCACGCAGTCAACTAGTTAAAACCAAAACTTTCAAGAGCACAAACAAAATAAATCGACCAATAATTAGATATAAGCGTCACCAACACATCTTACGTACGGACCGGTCAACCCGACTAGGAAAAAGTCTACAACATAATTTTTTAGAAGAAACATTTGTCCATGTCCAGTTACACATATATACTGTGTGTACGCCCTCACTTTGCTGTTAGTACTTAAAGGACACGAACGAGATGATATATATATAGATATATATTTAATACACACTTGCTTAAAAGGAGACAATAAGTGATATCTAACGTAGTTTCCTTTAAAAGTTCTAATATTTTACAATGTGTGTTGTTGAAATGCAAGCAACGTACCAACATTGAAAATTAGCACGTGAGTCTGATGTTTTTGGAGCGAGGACTAAATTAACATCTCGTCTACACAATTTATATCAACAAATATTATAGTGGTATTCATTTGAGTATGAAAGGGGAAATTATAAATTATTATAAATTACGAAGATATAAGTCACAATTACGAAAAAAAATCTTAATTAAATTCCATTTCTAGTCCGAAAGAAAAGGCAGTCTCGTCCCCTATCGGCTGTCAAGCTTAGCGCTGTACCGTCTGACAGAGTGAAACGAAGGGAAGTAACTCTGGGAGATCAATAGTCGTCTCCGGCCATCCTTAATCGATGGTGGAAGGGAGACAACTCTTGGTGTCATGATCTGTTAATAGAGTTAACAAAGCAGGTCAGTGCTAGTACGCTACACACTGGTCAGTTGTCTAATGAAGGTGACCGTGTAGTCACCAAAACGTCACACTCTAATCTATTATTGGTCGTGTTACAAGAATTCTCTCTCTCTCTCTCTCTCTCTCTCTCTCTCTCTCTCTCTCTCTCTCTCTCTCTCTCTCTCTCTCTCTCTCTCTCTCTCTCTCTCAATCGGAATTGTATAAACTTGACATTTATACTAAGGGGCCCTATATCATACACTATATCGACAGGATGCAATTTACAACAATTGATAAAGAATTAAATCACCGAATTAAAGACAGAATCTTTTGTAATCACACATCCTTATACAGATTAACTTTTCGCACAGACAATAACGGAAATTCGTAAATGAATACCATTGAATAAAGACACGGTTAACGTGTGCTCAGAAGAAATCCTAACAGTGTACAAAACCTCTGTATACCGTACCTCACACGGCATCACCGTATTTATAGAAGCGATTAGGAATGGGAGCAAGCGGAGCACTCTTTTAGGGAGCTTTGTTCATGTGACAACCCATGCTTGACAGGAAAATCACACTTGGCTTCTTATAGAAGATATATATAACACGCTCTTGTATTCTGTATATATACAACAGGACAAATTTTAATCGCGGTGTTTCAAATATATTCATTTCAAATGCACTCATTTCAGAATGTCAATGAAATCAGACAGTGAACTAATGTCGGGAATTGCACTTTGTAAATTGTGGTAATAAATTTCGGTCTTCACCTCCCTTTAACTGATTTCATTTCATTATTTTTACATGCTAACATGTAATAATCACGGGATAGGTAACGTATATAGAACGTATGTGAAAGAGATCCGCAACACCAGAGCATAATAGCTTCAAAACCTCACCATATTTAAGTTTTTCCGCAAAAATATTACTACGTAGTTGGTTGTTTTAAACATGAATACCCCCTAACAGGCTGATTTTATTCGTTGCATTGAATTTTAAGTGAAACAGCACCATGTATGCAAATGACTTTAAAACTACAAAGACTACGTCATGACACCAATATAAGAAATGCACCAAAGAAGGATGGTGGGCGTGTCTTTGCTTCTAAACAAGGCGGATTTTAAATCCGAATCAGAAATAATCTTACTGTTGTCCAGAGAACAAGAGAGAAGGAACTAAGAGCAGAAGCCATCGAGAAAGAAAGCGAAGAACCCGAAGATTTGGTTTACCGGGTCCGTGGGCCTCCATGGAAACGGAGAGTAGTCAAACTACAGGCAATTAATATTTAACAATCGGGAATAGGATGAATTAATTAATTTTGTAGGGATCATAAGATTTGTGTGAATTGGACTAATGAGGGAGTTATGTTTAAATCGAAATACTGATCAATTCTAAAACTATAATGTAGATATGGATATAGAGGCATTTATTTTGCCTGCGTCCATCAAAATCTTATCTTATCTTTTAAACCTCACTGTGTCCAAATTTGACAACATATTTAAATGAGTTATTTAAATATGCAAATTGGATATGATTTTGATCAAGATCTACTTATTATGTAAGTAATCAACACGGACTAGATGAATTCGATTTTAATTTGCTGGTGATTGGAATATCGAGAAAAGCGGACTTACCTCTTACCTTTTCACTCTTTTTCAAAGTTTTATCATCGCAACGCAGTTAACTATTACAATGAACTTATTGGATTTTTTTTTTGTTTCATTGAATGATATATGACTAACCAGTAATCATTGTTTGATTCCAAGATGAGCTTTTGCATTATACATTAATCATAGAAAATGTGTAACACATAAAGCAGGCATCATTTTACAGTGTAAATAAAACCGGTTATCTGTCGTACGACATTTAACGTACACTTACAGAAAAAAAACTAGCGAATAGATACTTTGTTTCCTCAATTAAAGATCAGGCTTTTGTACTGTATATTATTTGGGAAATTTTTAGTGTAAGAGTAGGGGTGCAGAGCTTGTTGATATGGAGATATTTGTTTTTTGGCATTTTAGCATAATCAGTCATTAATGTTCTGACCACATCTTTGTCATCTTTGTTTTTCTTGACACATGTTTTGCATTCCACACAAACACAAATACAAAATGTGTTCAATAGATGGAATAAACAACATACTTAATAACATTTCTAAATTATCACTTCATCATGTGTGACCCCCCCCCCCTCTCTCTCTCTCTCTCTCTCTCTCTCTCTCTCTCTCTCTCTCTCTCTC